GTATAAACTTAATGGCATTGTTTAGTCATATAAATGAAAGAAAAAATTGTTTAATAATGACGAAATATATTCCTCGAATATATACTTGATTACACCTATGAAATGACGATTGCTGTTGCATGCCATTTTGACATTGCCAACAGTCGTAACCAATTTCAAGTTCAGAGGGCAGACATCGGCCATTCGAAAAGACAAATCCTTCCGCGCAGACAAATTCTTTTGGCGTGAATTCTCCGTCACAGTGGACAAAATGCCTCTCGCAATTGTTTAACGACACAGCTTGTCCTTGCCGATTTCTAATAATAATCATGTTCTTTATTGAAGACAATAAATTGCATTTTCATAGTATATTACATTTCCAACTGAAGGATTCAATCACTAATTTCTTTCTATGAATTTGATGTAAATGAAATTTGAAAAATTAGTTCAAGAGGAGATTAGCTCAAGCGACGTGTTTCCAATGCTTCTCTCCAGTACTTCCCCTTCGTTTTTTTTGTGACGCTTGAATTTTTCGATTTGACTCCAAATTTGGTGGCAGAAAGGAAGCTCCCCTGAACTTCCAAAACACAGCACTTTTGGTACTTTTGATCGTGCAGATAATATCAGGTGCCATGATCAGCATGGACTGTTCTCCATCACGTCTATTTCTAGCGCAGGAAAGAAAGAACCAACAGTGCGAGAGCTACACTAATGCTATCAAATGGCAAAATGAACTTTGCCATTGCCCACTTTTTGTCCGTCAAAGTACACAGCTGTGGAAAAATTACTTTTCATGAAGGAAACAGAAGTGCGCTGATGGAAGCACAATACTTCTAGTTATGAAGGTTGCAACTAAATCACAGCCATAAAACCTTTATGAAATGAAAATGTTTTAGGTTAGCCATCTAAATACCTGAAAAAGTTTTGTGTTACTTGAAGACTTTTGATCTCTTCAGGTTCTTTTGCTTACTTTCTCAGATATCCGCAAAATTAAATTCAATATCGTTATTGTAATTTGTTTAAGACTTCAAGCTGCTAGACTCGGATCAATTATAATTTTTTTAAATTTTAATTAAATTCCTAACTTTTTGCATGAAAATGTCAATTACTTGCATATATTAGGCATAATACAGAGGTCATTAACACTTCGTTCTCTGCACTCTCTTAATTTCGCATCATAAATTAGGCCATCTTCACAGTAAATGATATCTTGAATAAATTCGTTGCATCTGATATACCTTTAAAATTTGGCATGAATTCAAAATCTGAATAAAAAATTCAAAAAAATTACTGGAAAAAGTATTTCAAAATGTTTTGCTCATTATTGAAACATATCATTTATATTATTATCACTTTTATCAACATTATCATAAGTTTCACTTTAGTATTTGAATAGTGTTTTAAATATTGTTATCAACAGCATTAAAAGATTACCATCGTTATCATAAAATACTCTCTAAAATTCTGTTAAATATTAATTTTTCATCACCCATATTCATTTGAATGTTGATTTGTAATAGTGAAAAAAATTAACGCAAACATTCATCACGATAGTAGTTTCATTTTGGATGCATTATATTTTCTATTGCTACAAAAATCAAGAAAATTATTGAAATGTCATAATATTAATTAGTACCATGTTCTGCATAGAATTCTGGGAAAACCTAATACATCATAACTGTATACGGCTGTGAGTGAATGCTGACAGTACTCTTGTATGGCATACTGTCTTAGTGAAGTTAGGGTTTTTGTAAGAATTTCAGCTGAATTACACTCGTGTGTGGAAGTGAAGCAGCCAAAAGGTCGTACTTTCATTATCATTTCTGCAAAGATTTATATAAAAATAAACAATTAAACTTTGATGAAAAATGGAGATAAGTGAGCGCTGCTTAAAGTCTTAAATGGTACTAAAAATTAAAAAATGGTAAATAATGGGGAAAAAATTCTTCAGAGTATTTCACTTTTTCTGTGCTTATTTTAAAATTTCAAATGAAAGCTGATGATTTATAACAAATTTCTCAGTTACGAAGGAACCTCTCGAGTGATACAATTTTTAAAAATTCAAAATACATACGTATTTAGAGCAAAAAATTAGATTATTTACCCGCGGGGCAAGCAAATACAAAGCCTTGCTTATAATCTTGGCAAATATAGGCTTGCCGAGAGCAGATACCATCCAAGAACAAGTATATTCCCGGTCCGTCTTTGCAGAAAGTTATCTCCTATACACATATATAACTAAAGCCATAAACTATGCTTAATGTGCTTGCAAAATGACAAATTTCTAAAAATTATAATCTGATAAATGAAATTTAAAGTGTAAGGGTTGGCGGAAGTTCCTAACGCTCAATTATTTTCATTTTTAAGGAGGGAAAAATTTTGAGTGCGTTTTACTCGTATATATTTTTGTGCAGAAAAATGCTTGTCACTTCTAAAATCATTTCGATTTCCGCATTAATTTGTTGGGTCTGTCGAGCAAATACTGCTAGGCACTTATCGCTGATTGCATCACAAACTGTTGCATTGAAAATCTGGAAATTATCTATTTCAACTATGCATTTCTTCCATTGAGCACCATCTTAATGAAACAATTTCAAGCGTGACATTCAACTCCGCCTGTAAACAATGGAAATAAACAAGTTATGACATCGACTAAGAAATCAAATATGCTATTGATTTTTGAGTTGAGAAAAGCGAAGAAGAAGGCTTGACCATTCTGTTAGCACATTTCTCAATAACGGCTCTTGGAAATGAACTCGATAAATCGTAACTGCACCGAATATAAACACTGGAACACGCACCAAGCAAAATGAAATCCCTTCCATCACAAACTTCGTTGAGATTGATCTTATACAGTCTTCCTGATTGACCTTCTGAGTTATAAAAAAGTCTCATAAATACGAATTAACGAGTTCAACATAAAAAGCATACTGAAGCATCATTTTAATTTGTAGTAATTTTTGCTGCAAGAAATTATTTTTGTTATTATCGAAGCAAAAGTTTTGGGACGGCACTGATCATCTAAGCTTATGCGTCTATTTTAGAAGCTGGAAAAATATTATCAAATATTCATTGCACATTTTCTACAGAAGCAGTGTCAAACGAAAAACTTTTCGGATTCTAACCAAAACGCTGGTCACGTCGTATACGTGTTTCATTTTCAAATTTTTTTTTCTGCAAATGATTAAACTGAGTAAATGAAAATATTGAAATGTTAAGTTTTTAAAACTTCACATTTTATGAATAAAAAAGATAATGAAAAAATTATTTTGAATATATACATATATTCAGAGTTTTAAATTTTGGCATGAAAATAATATTTTCATTGGAATTTCATGAATTTCACACATAGCTCACTTGAAAGTAATTGATTTTTCTTATTTAACTTTTACCTGTACCGAATTAGGCGCTGTATTGCAGAAAATAATCACCAATGAACAGAATAATAATTTAAGCGAATTCCAAGGTGAAGTTTGTTTATACATTTATTTGTCTGGAAAAGGATCTTTTTTTTTCAATTTTCTTGATTTGCTAGGTGCCACATGATTCAAAATCAGTGTTTCGAGTACAAAAAGATGGAGAATTTGCAAGCAGTAAGTTGTATAGTTCAAAGTCTTGAAGATTTTATATTTCTACCTAATAACTAGCTTCATATTTCACCGCTACCTAGTGGTTGAAGACTATTGTTGAAGCATTTAAGCACAAACGCTTTCATTTTTGCAAATATGCAAATTTCAATACTTAAAAAAGCTTTCATCATTTTCAAAAAAACAGTCAATGATATATTGAAGAAACGAAGGAAAGGACGATGTTTCAAGAACCTATCATTTCATTTCTGCTATCGAATAATTGTTTTATACTTTTCACACTTGCAACCCATTTATTCAAACATAAAAGGAATGCAAAAAGGCCAAAGCATCATCAGTAATTTTGACTTCCAGAAATGATTGCATGAATCACTTCCGACAGTCTGCGGTATTAAATTCTTTCATTATAATATTAATGTGACCTTTCTCCTCCGTTTTCCCGAAAAACACTTAAATGTTGTATTTAATTCATAAATAAAGCTGAATGATTGATAAGTCAAGTTGAATTTTGAAGTGCAAAGTTAAAAGCTTAGAAATAAAGTTAAGATTGCAAATAGAGCATTTCAGCTTCAGATTGACTATACCAAATTTTCAAAATGCAATCATTTCATTTCAATTCGCTGTCATAGATCTCAAATCATAGTTCGATTTATCTCAGCTTCATAATAAATTCGCTTTGATTCAAATTTTATTCCAGTGAGCAGTTAATTATATGTTTCTCGTACGTAGTCAAGAGAATATCGTTATCACTTAATCAGTTGATCGAACTATCAATGTGTGGATCAAACTTCGCTTTGATAAATACCAAAGAAATATGTAAAACGAAGGTCACATCTCCTCTGCGCAATTTCAAACTTCCCTCTCGCAGTTTTCTTTCCTTCGTGCCAATTTCCATTACATTTTCTACAAACGTCTTTTTTTTGCACAAATTTTCTCTGCTCGATTGCTTTCAGCAAAGAGATGGTAGTTATTCTGGCTCTTCCCCTTAACTTGCCATATGCGATTCAGACATCTTAATAACGTGCTGCTATTGTTTATCAATTTTATTCTGAATATTATTGCATTTGCAATTGTTTATCATTACTGCTGTGTTTGCTTGCAAAGTTCAACCAAAAAGAGATGAATTTGTAATAAAATAATTGTTACATTTGAGTTATTTAGCACGTATAAAGTTTCGTTGCAAACAGTAATTTTTTACTTTAATTAGAACTAAGTAAAAATGAGTATGGAAAATGAAGTTGATGAAAAATACTGATTAATTTATCTCATATGTTTAAAAATGCTTTCTATATTTTTCGTTAACCAATTTCTGTTACCCTTAATTGCCTTCTAAAGTGTCTCACCTTATCCATTGCTGTCAAGAATTTGCACAACTAATATTTCTTGCAAAGTATCAGTCATTGATCCTTCAGAATCTTTTATGCATCATTGAGTTCTCCAACTTATAAGCTATCTACCGACCGCTTATTACTCTTAATAGTGTGCCAACTATTATAATGATACTCTATTTTCATTTTCTTAATGATTGATTGCACTGCGAAAAAGAAGTACAAAAATATTGTGTTAGTATACTTAGTATGCCTGGATAATTATTAAAATTGTCAACTTGCAGTTATTGACAAAATGAATGTAAGCAGTTGCAGTGAAACTTTGCTGCCAATTAAGTTATTTTGCAGTTTTTATAAGGAATAGTTTGTTTCCCGCTCTTATACACTTTCTTCGCGCTTGACGAAAAACAAATTTATTTCGCTCATGAATTAAATCAGTGCGAGGGAAACGAATTAATTTCTGAACTTCGTTTCATGCTAAATGCAGTCTTTTTTAGATCTGAAATGCTCTAATTCAGGATAACTTTTGCTCATTTCATTGCTGAAAATGCGTTTAGTTTTTTATCAAGGGTTATTTATAGTGAAAATGGCAACGTTGATATCTGTTATTCTTGATATTACAATTATTATTATTACTAATGCTTGCATCGCCATTGCGCGGGACATGTGACAAATTTTAAGAAAGAGATGAACTTTTTCACTGCATGGCCCATTTCTTGTTAGTTTTAAAACAATATAACCAATATTGGGGATAATGAACTTTTGGATATGATTACACTGAAATTCATACGTAATTCAGAGCAGTTTTAACTGAAGATCTTACAACTCCGCTAATTAAATCCATGAGTGCAACGCAATGTCTGCAAAAAATTTTGTTTTCTTACAATCTGTCTTTTTTTGTGAGAATTAAATTCATCAGAGTGCAAATTAGACAAAGTTTCGTGATGCAGATAAAATAACTTTATTGAATAATTTTTCAGAATATTCAAATTTTGCAAAGTTAAATTGAGTGCGAGTTAAAAGAGTACTAAAATAGGTATAACGATTATTAAGTGAATTACCAAAATAAATACATGATTCTTTGTAAACGGATAGAAATAAATTTGTGCTCCTTATCTTGCTATCAGTAATTAAAAAATAAGAGGTGTATGTGTTATAATGATATAATATGGTAGTTTTTGAATTAAGAAAACATTTCACTCACAATATAATGCAATAATCGGATTTCAGTAGTAATAACATATATAATAATGGGATTTGATGCGTATTGTGTATGACACAATTGTAAATATTCGGATAAAGGTTTAGAGAGAGGGTAGCAAATGGAGCGAATAGTACAATTAAGTAATTGCTAATTACAGAGTGTGCTGCGAGCAGAATCATAGTGCTATTTGTGAGGAGGCGATGAATAAAGTCAAGTAAAGTTTGATGGAAGGAGGAAGGAGAGAGGCGAGAAACTGGTTTATTGCATTGACTTCCTTGAAAATAACTGAATGAATTTAGAATTCTATTTGTCTCTTTTGAATCTCATGAGATGAACTAAGCCTGAAGTTTTTGAAAGAACAGCACAAACTGAATAGAGCAAGAAATAAGAACAGGCGAGCTCTTGCACAAACACACACACACATACGTTAAGTCCGATCAGTCTACATTGCTAGAGTTGATCTGATCACAAATTAATTCAAAGTCCAGAAATGTTGCATCCAAGCTGATTACTTGTAGAATCAAATTTTCATTTCATCTTTTTCTTGCTTCACTTCACTTCTGCTCGCTTCATTTAACAATTAATTGTTGAATCATTTGTTCTAAAAACTATTAAAACCTTCATTGCTACCTCTGCTTCACAAATTAGTCAGCAGAATAAATTGGATTAAAGTAAATATTATATTAAGTTAAGCCGGAAATTCTCGCTCTTACATATACCTTAAATTGCATAGATATTTGCTTGTAGAAAATATTCCATACTGCGTGCTGTACTACCAAAATTAGTATACATTATCGGTTGAAACTTGTTGCACTGCAACAATTTGCACTCAGTAATTTCCTCTCAGCAGCGTAAAAACTAAGTTGTAAGCACTTACTCACACAAATAATAACTACTCATTTCTTTCTTTACTTCAATTACGTAAGTGAGCAAAGGTCTTGCACGGAACAGTGATTAAAAAGCAGAAACTTTAATATCTTTTAAACCTGTTCTTAGGTACCTTTGTTTTGTCCTATACATAATAAATAGTATACTGCAGATGTCGACATCATTTTCACTGCTCTTTCTTTCTTGAAAACATTCTGTCTTCAATTTTGAAATAAAAACATAGCATCAAAAGTTGTCAGTAAATATTTATTGTAGACAAATGTACTATATAAATATAACTCTTTAAAATTTTGTGAGTGATAATAGCAATCAGATGACGTTGTTGCTCAATATGTTACTGTTATTTATTATTGGCGAAGAAATAATAATAATAAAGAAAGAAACTTTGGAGGTTAATTTTTGTTTTCGCTTTACTGATTCTGGCGCTGGATCACATTCTGGCACTCCGGCTGTACTTGTCCCGCACTCATCGTTTTCGCATCGTCCTCGTGAAATCCATAACGAGTGAGATGCTTTCAAGCGTCTTTTGAGAACTATGGTTGAATATAGCCTCGACGTGATCAGATTACTGATCTCCTTCACTTGGAGTTTATGGAGCTTGGTTACAATCCCATCCCAAGTCATCACATACATAATTTTTTCATCCTGCATTTCATCTCTGACAAGTATATCAGCCAATAGGTCATATTTACATCTTTTCTTGGTCTCGAGTGCTGTCAACCTGTCCTGACTAGTGATGCCAATCTCTATCAGGATTACTTCACGTCGCTTCTTATCGTAAATCATTACATCCGGTCGATGTGCTTTTATTCTGATTGCAGTTCTCACTCGTGTATCGAGTCTGATCTCCACGTTCTCATTTGCGATGATAACCTGAACAGAATGGCTTCGCATGCGCGTGAATGCTTTCAGACTATACTTCTTGCAGAGTCCCAAATGGATGCATCGTAGGACCTCACTGTTTTTTCTAGTATAGTCATGATATAACGTTTTTTTGCACTTGCTAGATGGCCCACCGTCTTCACACGTTCCTCACAATATTGGCACATACCTTTCTCAGCTCCAAACATATTTCTATCTTAGAGGTTACAGTATCGTGCTTCATCTTGCGGGGTAGTGTTTCCGTATCGTAGCCATATTGATGAATCAACTACGGACAATATTTTATTCGTCCGCATCTTGTATAGCTTTGCATGGTGAGTTTTCATTTCAATTTCGCTATATAAGAACGTCTTCTGGGCTGCAAACACGTTTTCGACAGTAGGATTTTCTGCGAGGTTGTACCTATCTCTTGCCAAGTACGTGTTATGAGCTTTCCTCTGTTTCAAAATGACTGCCCTCCTGGTATATATGGGTGCGGTATCTACAAGAACATTATGTAGTTGGAGAAGTATAAGCTCATTTCCTTGCTTAACACGATGAAATCAACGTCCTAGCTCATCCCTCGGCAAGTACAGTCTTTCAAAACATGCACATTGTGAATTCCATGTTTAACTATTTGATATCGTGGTCTATAGCTTTAACGTCTTCTAGTTACAGCTTGAGCATCCCTATGTAATAATTTATTAAACTTATGACGTCACGTGCTCATTCAATCCATTAATAAAGTTCTTGCCATTTAGTGCAGTTTTGGCTAATCGTTCACTTTTCACAACAATCTCTGTTCGGACTTGATTGTAGCTTTCACGGGTAGGTGCACTAGTCTTGATTTTTGACTATTTCAAGGTATTTGTACCCTTCAATTCCTTCCAATAGCGCCTTTATCAACGCATACCTCGGTATTAGTGCTGACTTTGCTGAATTCACTTTTAGCCCTATCACATCAAGAAACCTTCCAACTTCTTCTGCCATAGATCTCACGATATTCTCATCGGTCACAAAGATCTTGAGATCATCCACAAACAGCAGATGATTTGCTATGTACATTCCTCCATCAGTTTGAACTGCCACCTTGGGTACCTTATATTAAGCCGACGATTTAACGATTCATGCACAGGACAAAGAACAGCACAGAAAGGCTATCAGCATGGAGAATTCTTCGTTGCATTTTATTCTCCATTATAGTTTCTCCATTGTTTTTCAGTACGACTGCCCATCTAAATGTAATGCTTTTTAGAAACCTGCTGATCTACGATGGCATGTTTTCAATGCACTCAATAGGTATCCGTAATTAACTGAGTCGAACGCACTTTTGATGTCATGCTAGGGTCGGTTCCCTTGCTCTCTGCAAACCGCCAAGTTCATCAATGCCTGTTCCTTCGTACCTTTAACCTTGGTAACAGTTCCTAATTGATCATTTGCAAGTAGCTTTTTCATGGCAACATCTAATTGCATGACACGTACCACATGTTTCGTTGTCAACTTGTGAAGATCCGACATATAAGTTATTGGCCTGAAGTCGCTGCCTTTACTTGCGATACCCTTTAGAATCAGGTAGGTAGTACTTTTATAGAACCAGGGATCCTGTTCCTCCCCATCCAGACAAATCTTTCTTACTATTTTGTGCAGGTATGAATGCAAGGAAGTGCACTTTTTATTAAAAAAGTTATAGGCTCCATCAGGCCTTGACGCTTTCCAATTGGCAAATAAAAAATTACCTTCCCAAATTTGGCTTCAGAGGGAAATTATCATGCACTTCATGATCTGAAACGAATTTTTTCAGATATTCGTTGTGCCTAATATTGTCATCCTTTCCCATCCCGGAGTTTTACATCGTATCTCAGAACTTCTGATTTCCTCTGTCCCTGATATTCTGGCTAATAGGCTGTTCTTCTATCAGATTTCTATAGAACTATCTTCTGAACAGCTCAAATCTGGCGTTTTCCATTTTGAATGCACATCGGATCTCATAACTTTTAATTTTACTTTCGTAAACCCTCACACTGTGTGTCAATATGCTTAACGCTTCATGACAGTTATGCTTAAGAGCAAGTATGAGATTCATTTCCCTCATACACTTTTGGCTGCTTTTAAATCCTTGCCTCCAAGTTTTCCATTAACCATTCTATATTCTATGGTTTTGTGCAAATTTAACAAGCTTACCTTCTTTTCTACGCTTGCCTACCCGATGGCTTCTTCTTTCGCTTGTCATGACTTTATAACACGGTTGTGCTACTAGGAGCTGACTCGCAATATCGGTCATTGACTTGGGAGATTCTGTGTGGCATATTCACCCGCCGCTTGGTTCACTGCTCCAAGTTATACTTGGAGGTCGACGCTCTCTGATATTATCAGGGTTTATCTTACGTCTCTGTGCTTCTTGCATCAGCATTAGATATTTCTCCTTTACATTTTGATAAACCTCAAATTCGTGTATTGTATTTTGCTCGAAGTGCGTATCTTGTGCTTTGATACTTCTGTTGACTTCTCCAAGAACCGTTTCTGAGAGACGGATGACCTGCTAATACTGCTGATCTGAGAATTCGCTTGCTTATTCAGTTTATTGAGAGTAATAGCATACAGAAACAACTTCTCGCTTTATAAGAAAATGACCAGATGGCGATCCCCCTCTCGGCAGTCTTCCAAATCAGTCAAGGACTGCTTTCAGCACCTCTTCCGGCTTCCTGCTTTGCGAAGTTTCAATTCAACCGAAGAGTGCTTCAATCGTGATCATTTTGCTGATGCTGGGTTTCGGTGTATTGGCAGTATGTTCTTTCATACTTTTCATATAGCTTTTTCAACTGCATTTGTTTTTCTGTTATTTTCATTTATGATTCCAGACGCGGACTTTTTCCTTTAACCCTCCATCCCTCCATTTTATGCTTCTTGAACACAGTCGCTCAGAGTTATCCTCGAAGTCAATCCCCCAGCACCCAGGCGAAGCCGAGAATTTAATAATAATAATAAATAGTGAATGTATTAATTGATTTATCCGTTGTTTATGAAGGAAAGAAGAGAAAAGGGAAGGAAATCAAAAATTATAATGCAATTATAAGAAATTATGCATTTGTTTTGAAAACATAAACAAAACTGGATTTGAATTGCTTTCAAAAGTTTTCCTAACAGAAACAACACTTACAAAAATAACGCATAAATCAAAGAGCTTTTGATTTGACATTCATCATTTTCTTGTTTGTTTTTTCTCCTTCGCTTACCTTCTCGGTGATATCTCCCACACATTATTTGCATGATGATGCTGATAATAAACAAATAAGTACAATGTGAATAAATCAGTAATGAATAAGTAATAAGTAATCTAACTATGTACTTTGAGTTTTGACTAAGAAAAAAGGCAAATCTGAATTCTGAAGGTGAGAGAATGAGGCGGTCTTTTTGTTTTTCAGAAAACTTGAAGCTATTCTTACTAAATTGAAATTGTTGAAATTAAAAGAGGCAAATTTTTTATGCTAACTTTTTTCACATTCAATAAAATTCTGCTTAAGACTTTCTTTGTTCCCAAGAAAATTGAATTTTTCTGCCACAAAACACTTCTGTGCATTGCTGTCTGCTTATCTAAAGTAAACTTTCACTATTTCGTCGGATATAATTATTTCTTACTATTATTACAGTACTATCTCATTACTACTACTATTAGCTTTAATTAATATACTTGGTTTTCTTGAACTCACAACCATACATTTTGTGTGCAAATCACATAAAACTGACAATTGATGGGTTCAAAAACGATTTAATCTATACTTAATTGATTGAAAGTAGTTCGAGTTGCATCTCTTTTTTCAAATTATCAAATAGTTTTTTGTAAGGCTTGCACAGAACACAAGAAGTTTGCAAGTTATAAGGAATTTTAACCAAACGAACGGCTTTGAAAAATAGTTATTGAATTTTAAAAATTATTTTTTATGAGAGAGTATTTCCGGTTTTAGTCCTGGAGCTAAGATGGGACGGACATGTATACTGAAGGGATAAACTTTTGGATATTTAAATTTGCATAGATGCAATTTAATTTATGCAAAATATTTGCTTTGAAACAATACTTGCAGCAACTTTTCTCCATTATAATTGTGATTAAATGTAATCACATTGCCAATCACTAAGGCTGTTCTAATGACTGGTTTACGCCATTGTTCAAGCATCACTTTTAGTACTGATATTAACAATAAATTTATTATTATTATTATTATTGATCGCAGATCATTCACTTCCAACCCGTATCATTTATAATTCTTAGTGGCAAAAGTTGTTGTTACCATTGCTGTTTCATTTAGCGAACACAACTAATAATATAATTAGTAATAGATGAACTATTGCTCAGTATTATGTTGTGGTCACTTTTCATATTTTTAAAAACTGTATCATTCAAAGTCTATTTAGACTGAGTTATATAAAAAATTGTTTTCAAAAATTGTATCACAAAACTACATCTAATTTTTTTAACGACTTTTAAATTACTTTTAAAACAAAGTAAAAAAATAATTTCTCGTTTATCCTATTATATTACACTGTTACACTTATCCTTTTTCCTCAAAACAATTTAAGACATTCTTCGTCTGTTTGCTCTAAAAATTTTGCACGAACACTATAAAATGCGAAATATGTGTGATTTATACATTTTCTGTAGCATTCTCATTTTTGCGCTGCTAATCATTATGACAATGTGTCCAAAAGCATTGGAATTCATCGAAATTCTGCTGAAAGTGGAATTGAAACCTTAAAGTGTTAACAGTTAGTGACGTTCAACAAATTTAATGAAATTAAGCCGAAAGCATTTTCGGATCGTAAACTAGTAGCAGTCTGATAGAAAATAATCTATCTTTATTTAATTCAAAGTATATTATGTGATCATTTCAATGCAATGCTTGCTAAATGAACATTTTTCAGAATGGTATCATTTATAATTCTTAGTGGCAAAAGTTGTTGTTACCATTGCTGTTTCATTTAGCGAACACAACTAATAATATTAAAAAAAAATTTAATTTGAAATCTTTAAATATTTTTAACTCAAACAGCATTCAATCCAAAAATGTTTCAAAATTCTTCGCTTAATCACTGAAATTCAAACTTTGTTGTTAAATTTATGGTAGTCAGTGAAAGAAAAGTTTACGGTATTCAATCGAATTATCAGAGATAGTTTCAAGCATAAATTTTACGAATAGTTTAATTTGAAATCTTTAAATATTTTTAACTCAAACAGCATTCATTTAATTTCATGATGAATTAGCAATGCAAAAATTATGTTTGAAAAATGAAAGAAAATTATTTTTCTGATTAATTTTGTAGAAATAATTCGAAAAATTCTATTTTGTTATTTTTTAACGATTATTGAAAATTGGAGCTGTTTTTACTTCAGTTTTTCTTCAAAAATTCTTACCACTTTAGTTATTTTTTAAATTTCTCCTATCATCACATGCTATTATTTTAGGTTGAAGTTAAAAAATAGCAACACAAGAAGACAAATTAAAAGATGCATTGTGGATTAAAACTTTTTTTCATGTTATATTGATTCATTCTTCATCTGAATATTTTGAATTTTATATTCTTGTAGTCTTGAGAATGAATTATTAATTTGAACAACCTGTCTTAATTTGCGTTTAAATTCAATTATATCTGATTTGAACTAAATGAAATGTCTTTTCAAATTTAAAAATGCTTTGTAAAGTATCTTCAAAACATTTTTGGATCTTCCTGACTCAAAATAAAAGTTCTATCAAGAGATTGGATGTAGAAAAGACGACGTGAAACTGACAGAATTGAGTGAAAGAAAAAATACAATTCTCGTTTATGCCATCATCTCTATACAAATACATAAAGTAAATTTAATACACCGAAACACATGACATGTCTTAGTATTTCTGAATCATTTACTTCGTCCATTGTAAGTTTGGAGCATTTTTGACAATTTCACCTGGTTTCGTTTGCAACAAACAAAATTCGTTTCCTCTGTTGTTCGTGCGAAACAAGTTTTGATAAATTTAAAAAGTATATATGATTGACTTCTTGACCGAACCAATTTTTACAGCGCAACAAAAACTGCCTGCAATCAACATAAAACCTTATTTACATCCAGCAACCAAAGGTACCTGCGCCTGGTACAATCTTATTACCATGAATGCGCAGAAAAACATTTTGATTGATTTATTTTTCATTTAAATTAGTAATTAATTGTTTGAATTTCAAGTCTTCCTGTTGACTTAGCTTTGATCAATTATGAATTTCATTTGTTTAATACCAGGCTTGACAGTTATGAAATAATTAAGATAAGAGAATAAAATGTTTTTGTTACAGTATCTTTGCAACATTTTTCACTGCACTGTAATTGCTCAACGAAAGTATTACTATATTTGGCTGTGAATCATAAATTGAGGCTAATTTGATTTGACTTCAAACGATTTTGTAGGAAGCATGGATAAGAGCTGTTTAGCAGCGTCCTAAACATCTCTCACTATACCGATTGGTAATTAATTATAAAAGTGAGTTGTAGATGATGAATAGCAAAAGAAATGCGATCCAACCAGATAAGCAGATTCCTGGAATGATTTCATCAACGAAAGATTCTAAAATGACGAAAGGACGAGACAGGTGCTGCTGCAATTTATTACACGTGATCAAGGCGACACTGCTCATTGGATGTTTGGAACTTTGCTTTTTTTCCTATGAAGTATCTTTTGATGAATCAATACTAAATTAATACCAAATACAATCAGATAGGAAACAAAAGTGAGCACAAGAACCTTGTAGTTGTTGAAAAAGTATTTTGCAACGAAGAAAGATGTAATGTATTTAAAGCCCTAAGTTACCGAAGATGCGTGCCTTAACTTTAAAGTGTGAATATGTTTGATTTAAGTAATTAAAAAGTGAAAATTACTGAAAATAGTGCACAAAGCACTTTGACAACTTTAGGTATTTTCTACAGCACATCAATTTATGCAAACGGGTGGGCAATACATAACGTCATTGTCCATATTCTTATTTGGAGTGATTCTAGCTATAATTGCTGTGATACTACTGTTTCTGGCTATCAAAATATCAACTCCATACTTACTAGTGCCGCACATTCTGATGCAGGTGATGCTTTGAGGGTAATCATTCTTTGTGCACTGCTTCCTTCATTCTGGCATCTAGGATTTTTTCATAACAAAATTATTGATCAAGATGATAACGGACATTAATCTTTTCAAATTAAGTATAATCTAGTCCATGCTGATCAGTTTTTTACTTTATATCAGCTCGCATTTGTATGAGCAATTTTTTCATGCAAATCAGTGTTACTCATATGATATCACTCATTGAAAATCAAAAAATCAATGAAAATAATTAATTATGAGTAAAATAATTAAATTATGGTTATTTTAAATTAATTCTATAGTTTCAGGCTGCAGCTGTGTGTGTGTTATCATCATTGTGTTTATTTTGTTTGTTCACTCTGTTGGCTGGAACGAGCCTGGATTTCAGGCTTGTTTTTCTTATGCCTCTTTAATTCTGATGTTTTTGCCTTACATTCATTCTTTTAAATCTTCATTTCAAACCACAGTAGAAACTTTGGGTTATGATAGAGTGAGCATGCATTAATTAGCAGTATTAGGTCATCTTAGCTTCATTTTCACAATCTTCAGTTAATTAGAAAAAATTCTTTTTATTTATTCATTTTTTATTCAATAAATAAATAGTAATACGTAATACTTGACTTCACTGATAAAAGCATGTTGTGCAGACTTCTCGAGGCGTAAGTCTGTTGAAAAAATTCGATACTGGAAAACAGTACGTGTATGTGTTATTATTAAATAATAATGTCTCTAAAAATGAAAAAAGTAACAAATCAAAGGCAAATTTCAGACTGGTTAATGCAGACGATAGTTTCACTGACAACAGTCTGATAGCAAATATGTTGGATGAGTCGGTGATAACTTATGATTTTACTTTTATTTCTAAGAGTTTCGTTCTGATTTTGTCCATCGCTTGTATGCTACTATTCTCTCTCGCACTATTTCAGGTTTAATTCATCTTTATTTATTACTCGAGTAATTATTACTTTTCGTTTCATTCTGAATTATAAAATTGCAAGCAAAAACTGAAATTTCGCTCACACAAACAAAAAAGTGATCTTTAGTGTTATTTGAATTGAAGGTGTGGATGCTAATTATTGTTTTGGCAGCGTTCTTTCACTTGCAAGAAAAAGTCAATCAAAAAAGTCAACCTGCTGATGGCGTTAACTCCACTACAAATGCCAAATCGAGCACCGAATCTCCCAAAGGATCTTTCAGAAATAAACTAAGCACTGACAAATGTTTTTCGATGGAATTTAATCCAAAAAATTTACCTGCGAGAGGAGAAACAGGCTGCTAGTTACTATACTATTAATTAACTAATTAATTAATTACAAATTTTTGCACTGATGCATTAATGCAAAGTTGAAAAATTATTGACCATTTGTTTAAATTCATAAAAAATCACTTAACTTTCAAGTTATTTTAGCATTCAATTTCAGAAAATTATTATCTTTTGCCACCAATTATTTTCCAATTGTATTTATTTTGATTACAGTTCTCGTAATGCGTCAACTGATCTGATCTCACTTTTATAACGTGTCAGTTATTATTTGTCACGTTTTGTTATTCATTAAAAAGATGTTATATGATTATGCTTTAATTTTCTAACAAAAGTCGTGCACATTATTTTGTTATTTTTGGGATTAAAACATGCAAAAAAATTTTTTAGAACACAATTTTGAAAATAGAAATCATTCTGCTGAATATGCTTGAAAAGTAAAGCACCGATGTATTGGTTGAGAAGTGCTTATTCATTTTAACAGGACAAAATCCTCCAGCAAAATGAATAATTATTGATTCTCTCAAATATTTAATCTTTCTAAAAAATGAATACGTTCATAAAATGATCATGAGAGAAACTAGTGGTATTTATTCTTTTTGTGCGATCAAGCACAAAGAAATTGAACTTGAAAAAACGCAAACTTTAAACTAAGAAATTTCTAGAAGATTTAAACCTTAGATATTTTATATCAGTCTGCAAAAAATGCTGTGATTAACTAAACATGAAGTCACTAACATGCAAAGCTCATTCCCAAGTTGAATTTTACAATAACATATTTGATTAAACAATAGCAGCAAGTTATCGCAGTGACGTCGCTTATCTGTTGCGATTCATTTCGTTTACAAATTTTGAATGAAATCATCAGTATTTTATTTCGCAAGCAATTCCTAACGCCAATAATTTACTCTTTAGTATTGTATTGGTCATTAATTTTATTTTGTTGCTTACAAGCTTCCGGAATGTGTAAAAATAGCAATCAAAACAGCTTTAGTAACAAATGACAATAATATATTATGATCCCTTGAAAGTATTCTCCTGTAGTTATTCAGCATTGGAATGCTCACTTGACTGCCATCACCGATTACTGGATGTGAAACGATTCAAAATCTTCATTTAGAAAGTCAATAAGCATCAGATGGACTTTAAAATGGGATCATAATATATTATTGATTTAATTAATTCCAAGAACTGCCACTACTTATTTCAATGAAAATTGCTGTATCAGCACATTTAAAATAGAACAGGATGAGTGCAACCTTGAAAATAAACAACGAGCATTCACACTCATTACTCACTAGAATAACTGATAATTGTTAAATTTGCTGAGAACTTGACCCATTACTTTGGCATTGCTTCTGAGTAATAATACGAGAGTGTGAAAGTAATGAAATTTGAAGAGCAACGCATACATTTTTTGCTTTGTGTTTAGCTTAAGGTAACTTCTTTCATTGCGGATAGAGTAGTCTGATTCAAATTTCTTGCACTCACTTGCTGTGCAAATCTTAGAAGCAGAAGAGTGACATAAGCTATGGATGGTGTGCAGTAGCAGTGAATATTTGAGAGAAACGTTTCTGCGATAAAATAGATAAATAAATGATACTTGTGCTGGAATTTGCTTGGTTTAACCTATCCCAACAGGTAAGTACTTAAATGTCATTTTTGATTTCTGCTTCTTCTTCCTTTGTTACATGGTAACTTTCCGGTTTTCGGAGTAAAAAACCTGCTCGACGAAACTATTATCGCATCGATTAACGCATAGAGACGGTTCATTTGCCTTATTTGGCATCAAAATAAATAATATTTATGAATTTTCGTATTTAAAAACAGAATATGCAACAAAGCGATCAGTCACCGATATTTTCATCATCGTTACTTTCTTCACTTGATAGAAATTTGCGTGCTTGGACTTATTTTGAAAGGTTATTGATCGCGCTACTTTTAAGCTCTCCATAATCACTCATTTCAGTCTTCAAAAAAATTTATAAAATTTATATATTTTCAATTTATTCTCGATGATCTACGCACAGTGTTTGAAATTTTTTTGGAGCTATCAATTTAGAGCTAAAAAGATTAGCTTCAAGCGCTTTTGTCTACTTTGCAATTGCTTAATCGAATAAACTTTTCGTGTTACTCATTTTGCTTCGAAAACTTTTCAACGAAATGCGTGAAAGCACTACTGATACTTATTTGACATATAATTGACGAGAAATGGGAAACAAACTAAAAAATTGCAAAATCTTTTGCTTGAAATTTCACTTTCAATCAGTGTTGGTAAACTTTGGTTGCAAAGTTGCTTGAAACAAAGTATTATTTGTGATGAAGAGAATACTGTAGATTTGAAAACATTAAGTGGTACAATGCCTGGAAAGCAACATGCTAGAAATCCAACATTTAGCAGTAATCCTGACAGTCATCAGAATGCATCAAATTCGGGGTGTCTCCCTGGAAGTGCAAATGCTTTTTTGGACCAAAAAGAACAACAATCTTCGAATTTATCACAAGCAACAGATTACTCATTAACTCATAAAAATGGTATGTGGTTCTGATTTGACATAATTTATTTTGAGCTTTTTTTTATTATCAGCTTTATCTAAGGAGAAACATTTAATACAATGGCATCGATTCAAGTTTTAGATTCTTCGCAGTTTAAGAACAACTCTAATCGATATGGATATACTAAGTCACCTGGTCACTATTCCCCCAATACGGGTGGTTACTCTTGGCTACAATCGCAAATACATCCCGCAGAATTGATACAAACCACACAACATATCAATTATGATATGCCACATCGACGTGCAAGTATTCTGATGGGGCAACGTTCACTGAAGCTGATTGAGGAATATGAAGAAAAAAAATTAACGTTTGTATTCTTAACATCTTTACTTAATTTTAGCGCAATCAAAAATCTTTCTTTTTTATCATATTTAATGTTATCAAGTTTCATTTCAGATTCGTTAAGCTTATCATTACAATATACAGTAATTGGGGACTTTGGATCGCTAAATTTGCTTGGCCCGCTATAACTTTATGCATACTAGTTGCTTCACTTTCTCTTATTAAAATATTACGCACCCCGTTAGTCACGTAATTTATAATTTTTTCATATTAGTTGCTTTATTATTTGCGTTGCTCTTGTTTCTTTTAAGTATTAAGTTGATTTTAGCTAGTTTTATTTCTAATCGCCTTACTTTTTCAATACTTGCGTTAAAATTATTCATAAAGATTGCAAAGTAAGGTTACAAACCGATTGGTAACACAGCTTGATATTTCTTTCTTAGTGAATTACACGTGTATTAATGATATAGATCAAAATACTGTGATGCACTGTTATGCAGTCTTTTGTGCTATGAAATGTATATTAGTATGCAGTGGAACACAAATTTTTTAGGCAACGCAATGATTTAAAGGGTTACGCTCCATTTGAAGCGCGTTCTCGTGTGGAATACAACAAATATTTAGATTTCTTTTCAAGCAACAGTGACGTGCCAGGAATAGCCACATATATCTTTGTTACGGCGAAAGATGACGGATCTATGCTCAGACCAGACCATCTTAATGAGACTATACAGGTCAGTTTGATATTATTATGTATAATAATTTTTTATGCACAGTTACTATTCATAAAATTACTCTTAAAGTTATATTTACAAGACAAATTTTTATTTGAATGGAAAATGCATACTATAAATTGCGGTCCGCACTCTCAACAGATGATCAAGAAGCAATTTTAGGTGCTCGATTTAACTTTAAATAACATCACGATGTACAATCCCATCAATAAACGTCATTTAGCATTCAGCGAATTTTGTCACAAATTTTGCTTAGCGAACGAGCCTGTGCGTCAATTTTACGTGAGTGAGTGGATCTTTGTAAATATTGACTAAACGTGCTAAATTTAGGAACCAAAGCGAAGTTTGGAAATTCCATAATTTTATATTTTCCATGCAATTTTCAGCATGAAAAATATGAACATATCACAACTTTTTCATTGTATTACTAAGTGAAATTCAATTGCCACCATTGCTCGTGACGTCTTAAACGTTATCTTTAACGTATTCAAAATGCGTTCAAATTTATCAGTGGTGAAACTAATATTCAATATCGCTTTTTCCAAGATTTCAGTATTTGCAATGTGTAGTATAGAATATATTTTAAACAGCTTGAACCTAATTAAATTTAAGCCATGAGTAGAACAAGAATCTCCATCAGGAAAAGCAATCAAGTGAAAGATCTAAGTAATAAAAATAAATGACTAGAATTTCAAACATTTTAGCAGAAAAACGTTATGTATCTGTCTGCAACCATATTAATCTTTAAAAAATGTATTGAAAACTGCCCTCATTCATTCTTTACAACTTAACTGAAGCACACTGTATAATATTAAAAATAGCTTATTCAACCTTTCTAAAGAAATTATAGCTTATCAAAAGAGAAGTGAAATATCAAATAGAGTGATAATCGGATATTATGTGAATTAATATTGATTACTATTGCAATACTGCTGTTTGCTTTTTACTTTTGCTTCAGTAAATTAGATTCAGAATCATACAATTTTTTTCCGAGTATCAAATTCCGAACACAAAAAAATGGTATAATTCACAGTTACAACTCAGATGAAACAACTGTTATCAAATTGTAATATTTATAGTAATTTTAGAATGCTTATTTGGTACAAAAAGAATACTTAAAAAATGGTAGTCGTCCAAATCCATTCTTACTTCTGAAGTATCCCATCAGTACTTTATTCGGTAGGAATGTTAGCATACAGGTGAGTATACTGTTAGTTTATCTGATAGCATATCATGGTATTACATTAAGACTGTGGTAACATTTATGCATGTACATGATGTTTTGTTAGCTTTACAACGATACTGTGGAATTGCCGAAATTTGAAAGTTTATGGTCGCTGCTAATCGGTTAAATGATACTTTGCAGCCGTACTTCTTTGGAATTAAATTACATGATCCGAAAAATGACACTATAGAAGAAATAAACGAAGAACACGAAGGAATCCATGAACTCTTTGGAGAAAATACTGATGTGACGCTATTCTCATCCGAGAACAATTCGTTTTCCGCAGTGACCAATATGAAGTCAGCAAAGATGATTTCACTGCAATTTAGAGCTTTACACAATAGCAACTGGAGCAGTGATAATGTCAAGCAATGGGAAATGAGCGTTGTCCACTTCTTCCAGTACAGTATTTCTTTGCAAGCTTCCACGCTTGTTTAATTAATGCTGGATCGATTAATATATTATTGATACTTGAAGAATAGATTTAACAGTATCAATTTTTGTCTTCTCTTTTAATTTACTGAACTTTGCATTCAGTGAGAACTCTCATATAAGACCAATTTATAATCCTAGCAAAACATTTAATTAAGCCTACTACTACTACTACAGTAATGCTATCATATTCATAAAAACTATGGCTTATTTCACTTGGATTAGCTAAGAAAGTACGGTTTTTTTCATAGAAACTATCAGTCAAAGCATTTGACGATTTACGTATCGTCGACCACTTATATCGAAGAAGAGATGATTCGTGTCGGAATATCACTTTTACCGTATCTAACAGTTGGCTTTGTCATTATGTGTACCTGCTCCGTAATTACAGTAATGATTCGTGCAGCATACATGCATCAAAATAGCATATTTAAAGTAATCTCTGCCATTTTATATAATGACAAACGCTGCACTAGCATTTTTACGAAAAACTGAAGCAAGTAACATATGAGCAAAATTACTTATTTAACTTGTGATTGTTGATTGTTGAGATGAAGTAAGTAACAGATCAACGTTGTCCATTTCAGATTCTTCTGGCCATAATGGCTTGCGTGACGCCACTTCTGGGTTGCTCCACCGCAATGGCGATACTGTTCTTGTTCGGTATGAGATTCTCCTCGGTACTCTGTGTCGTTCCCTTCTTAGTACTATCTATTGGTAAAGAAGTTTAATATTGTTCTTAAAAGAATACCATCTGCTTTTTTTTATCGTGTAAAGTATAATATACTTAAATTAATAAGTTTTTTTGAGTATTGCAACAATTACTGTAACCATATTATTCTTAGAATGTTACTTTATTATTGTTCTTTATTTGCGTCATTTAACTCCAATTTCCTGATTTTTGTTTTTACATTTAACTCAACCAGCTAAATGTTGTTTCTGAAATATTTTTTTATATAGCTGTCCTGATGTTTCTGATTGAACAAATAATTTATGATTTTAATTAATGATGTTTGAATCCTTTCGACTAGTTCAATTATACAAACCTTTGCTAGTAATGTCAGCAAAACTGCAGGAGTTGACAGTTCTTACTTGATGATTCACGAATGGCAACGGCTAACAAAGGAGATTCGAAATGGCGAGAAGAAAGGGGGATCTGCTGGACACCGTATTTCTGAGGTCAAGAAGTTAGCTAACTCTCAAAGTGAGCAAGTGAAGGTTTATAGCAACAATAATTTTTACAAAAATTCAGGTTCTTGGTGAGGTAGGCCCTGCAATACTCATTTCTGCGATCACTAACATATTAGCAGATGCCGTCGGTTGCTTTACATCATCACCAGAAATTCGTTTATTGTGTATTGCTAATTTATTCTCCATGTTTATGGCATATTTATACCAGGTGCATTTATTATTTTAATCAGTTGAACATAAATAATGTCATAATTGTTGTTTGATTATTTAATCATTCAGTATTAAAAATATTGGAAACCGAAGCACGCACAATCGTTTGCAAAAAAGAAATTACTTAAATTTGTTGATACTTAAAACGAGCTAAAGCTTGCTTCAGATGACATTTTATTCTGCATTAATGGCAGTTATTGGAAAGTTTGAAATTGAAGCAGAAGAAAAGGATGATCGTATCACAAATATTGTGATTGGGAAAGGTCAAGTAAATATTAGAAAACGTAGCGAGGTCATTGTAAGTTATTCGAAAGAAAAAAAAGTTTGATTTTTACGGTAATACATCACTTACTTGTTTATTTCAAATATTTAAAAGCATAATTATCATTGGTTCTATCTCAGTATTAGTCATTATTCTTTATTGAGTCTTCACTACACGAACAAGTTCTTGCTCAATTTGCAGTTCATAAGATGTAGCTGAAAATGCCAACAATGTCACAGAATATACAAACATTTTATTATTCACTGATTGCTTCGTTTTCCAGCGCAAAAATTCAAAGTTCCATGATAGGTCGAAATTGTATATTAGTAAATATATAAAAGTATATGTGGATATTGTCACTCATCCCATAATTGCAATACTTGTCGCACTTGCTTACGTCGTTTACGTTGCGATTTCAGTTTGGGTTTGTGCTTTTTTAAAATACTCTTTTATAACTAAATCTGAATCTCAGTACTTGAAATTCCTTTTATGAACTTAATTAAGTAAAGAACTTGAAAGTTGAGCGAGAATATTTTAAGACTTTTTCTTGTTACTTTTAAGAAATATTGTCTCTTTCGAAGCTTCGATTATTTGCATTCTTATTAAAAGGGATGTTAGCAAGCTATTCGATACTTTCTTAATACTTTATTGAATATTTTAGGGTATTACAAGAATGACGATGAGTTTAACACCTCAAAAACTGTTTTTAGCTAATTCTCCCTTAATTAAGGTACGGTGTTTTCATTGAACCACCAATTTTTTCTCTCTTAATAATTTTGATCCATAAAATCTTAAATTGAATGATATTTCACAGCTTGAAAAGCTACGTACCCGTTATCAATTACCGGTGTTTATGATAGTATCTGTATTTGTGGAAACACCTGGTGATTTGTCTCAGAGGTCAAGACTGATTTTGTTGAATAAAATGGTGAATGACTTCGAGAATGTCAACGGTAGCTGGGGACCAAGTGGTACAATGTATTTTGTGCGAGATTTTGTCACTTTTCAAAATTTTTTGCATTGTTAGTTTTAATTTTATTCTAACCACAAAGTAATTAAAACACAATGTATTATTAATTTATTCATAAGAAGAAAACTTTCTTTCGGGTACAAAGTAATTGGTATATAACATCTACTGCTGCATAATTTTCCGTACGTTTGCAGCGTCATACTATGTAGAATTACGTGGTTCTAGCAAGTTCAAGAGTGAGAATTTTAGCAGACCACGATTATGACTATGATTTGGAAACAAGCACCAAAGCACTTACACCCGAAGAAGCTCTTGTTTTCAACAACAACGATCTAGCAACTTTCCTCGCATTGCCTGAATACGATTTTTGGTCAGGTTTCATCAAGCTTCAAAATGTTAGCATGGATGGCAAGTTCGTGATTTTTACCTTTTGACTTTTTCTTGCCTCTGGAAGTAGAACCAGTGGCAGAAAATATTGAACATTGCAAAAATAATTTAGGAATAAAACTCTCAAAAAATTCTTCTTCACTACGGCTTATAATGGCGAGAAACTTAGCACTTGGCAAGCTCGGCAACAACTGCTGCAAAAATGGCGAGCTGTCGTCGACAAACCCAAATAGTAATTTTTTAAATTAGCTGAAATAAAATTGAAGAAACTGTATCAATTATCAAGCTATGTTAAATTTTCTGCACATTCTTGGTCGATGTGCACAAAGCATGTTATTTTCTTTTTGATTTAAATGATGAAAATTGAAGCAAAAACATTTTTAGGACCATTTGATTTTGTAGCAGTTTGTGTTAGCTAATTTTTTAGCTTACATCAAAAGGTAAGCTTCCCTTCTGATTAAGATTCAATGGCTTGGATATTGCAGTGAACTATTCCACGCATATGTTTTTCAAGAAGATGCCATTTTCATGGATCTTATAGATAATATACCAACAGATACATGGCAGTCTGTGCTAGGCACCTTAGTATGCATGGCTGTGGTATGCTTCATATTTCTCAGAAGTTCACTTACGGTCGCCATTGCTACCACCTGTGTACTATCCATTTGCATTGGTAAATTGCATCACCAATTGGTAGTTGTAGTACAAAAATATACTACGTCACAAAAGACAAGAAAACTAGTCAGTTCAGGGATCAAAAAGTTATGATTATTAACCGCAAACATTAATTTGAAATGTTACATTAACATTTTTTGGTTTTAAACTTACTATCAGTAAAAATTGCCACATCACAGTTATTTACAATATCTACCAAATCTCAGAAATTTTTGAATGGGCACTGCTTCATTAAGCATAATTTCCTTGTCGGAGTAAACGGTTCTTTTAATTGATTTGCATAGTTATATGGTATGATGATGTTAATTTTGAGTGAAGAATCAATTTGTGAAGCAAATTCATTGTAGGCATTCTCGGAATACTTTCTTGGTGGGGTATTGAGTTGGATCCCATAACAATGGCTGCGATGGTTATATCAATTGGTTTCACTGTTGATATTCCAGCCCACATATCGTATCATTACTATAGAGCTTGTAAATAGTTTCACTTCATTTTCTAATTTGCACTATTTCATCGTACTATCATGTAGTTCTTGATGTAAGAATAGTTTCAGTACTTCAAGTCATAATTAAATTTTGATATAATACATAACTAGCAGCATTAGTTACTTATAAGTGCAATTAGCTCCCTATATGGATATTGTGCGGACACAACAAATTGTATGGAATCAGTAGTTGATGTGGATGAGACGGAAGTATGCTCCTCAAATATAACCAACCCATATGCATGGAAGAAAGAAAGTGCCATTCCTTCCCCCTCTTATTTCTTGTTACTTTTTTGGTAAATATTTTGAGTAAAGAGGAAGCTCTATAAATTACTGAATTGGTGAAGAAAGAAAGAAAGTGATTATCTTTTGAAGATGACAAGTGAACGATAGCTGTTCCAATCCCCATATACACTGCATTTCCGTATATATATGATTTATTTCTCGAATAATCATGTGGATTTCTTTGTTTAAATCCGGGTTTATAAGTTGATCGTGTTCAGGTGAGAACGGACCGAATGCAACACCCCAAGCTAGACTTGCAAACTGCCTAACGTCTGTCGGATTTCCGGCGCTACAAGCAGCACTTTCAACCATACTTTGTGTTTGCAGTTTACTGTTTGTCAAAATTTACATGTCCGAGGTATTTACTGATGAAAGCTTTTTATTTCAAATCTTCTTAAATGATATTCTGAACTGAGTCACCATTTATTTTTCACATAAAAATAGAAAGGATTTTTGTTCAGTCATAGTTAACAAAAGCCAATACATGACTAAATATAGGTGTTCGTGAAAACAATGATTACGTGCGTCATACTTTGCAATCTGCACGGTCTTCTGGTGTTACCAGCGGTTCTCTCCATAGTTGATCGAATTACAGTTGCAGTAAGCCATAAAAAAACTTATGGTTCACAAGGTGAACAACTGATACACAGACGAATGGAGGAAGTAAGAAAGAAACTGTCCACTTTATCAAACACATCCAGACATGGACTTAGTCAGTGCAATCTAAAAACAGATCGACCACCAATTTTTTCACATTTTGATGCTGTACTTGAGGTGGATTAATTAATATATCTATTCATTTGATAGATATGTGAAATGATTAATTGAAGTAATGGTGCCTATAGTATATCTACACTTTCAAGAGCAGACCTTATACATCTTTTAATTACACGTTTATTTGTTCACCTAACAGCCTTTTCTTAAAGTTTTACTTCGACTTAAAATGAACGTAAGATCTATCAAGCTGTGCAAAATCGCCAAATTTGCCCTCACGATTTGTTTTGCTTCACTTTAATTGCAGAAAAAAAAATTATAAAAAGAATGAAGAAAGGAACTGGAAATAATTGATAGAAATTTACCAGTCATCAACATGTATAGATTTTAATATACTAAACTCTGACATTGGCATAGTTTTTTGATGCACTGTCACCTAGCTACTCCATTATTGAGAGAGTTTAAATAACCATCTATAAATTTTTACAGTGAATGATCAGTTTTTGTAGATGCTGGTCTTTCCAAATTCCCAATTAAAACAGGGTACACCACTAGTCAATCTGTTTTCAACAACTTTTACTTCGGAATTTACCAATATAATTAAATACTAGCAAATTATAAGGTAACACTTTAAAAAGTCATGAACAGAGTAACGAAACAAACTATTACTTCACGTTCTAAAGTAATAGACAGTTTCATGTTTGTTTTCCCCAAAAAATTCAATTATATGGAGTTAGCAATCCAAGTGAATTGACTTCAAGTTAAATCAATTTAGTTGAATTGAAATTTCTAAAGCATAAATAAATAAACGCAGCCCCACAGTTTCAGAAATAGCTATAGAAACTTTTGTCAATATCAGAAGAAAGGAAACTGAATATCATTAATTGAGCTCGAATTTCTAATAATTCAATCTACTTTCTGCTCAATAATGCCTGCTGCAATAGTTTGTCCTGTACGACGAAATGTTACTCTGCCAAGTGCCTTGCAAACAGAATAAAGTTCTAGGTTAACAGCTCGTTCTGTGACAATCTCAATCACTCCACTCATGTTTTTTGTCAGCATTCTAAAATAAGATGTTATGCTTAGAACAAAATGTGCAGCTTCGTACATTATATTGAATAGAAATTAAGAACCTGGGCTTCTGTCGTATTACTTGCCCTGTTGATTTATTCAATTCCGCTATTAAGTGTGTGATCGTACAAGGTTCAACTAAACAATGTGCGAACAGTTCGACTTTTGTACCCCGAAAGATAGGAACAGCAGTGTCAAAAACCACTACGCGTACACGATATTTCTTTCCAGGAATAAGACACTCCTGTGACATACACGATCATATAGTATCAACTTTATTATTAAATTAATTGAGGTCAGTAAAGTTAGTCGCCTGGTTAATGATTAAATCAAGCTTCGTATATCAAAAATGCAGTTTTTAGAATAAACACATACAAAAAAGAACGTTTAAAATATTAGATTTCTGATTGACATTCTAAAAAAAATGCATAAGCATAACCTCTCCACCACGACAAAGTACATGTCCGATGCTCACTGAATCAGATTCAATACTTGAAATAGGTATTAAAGTAACAAGCGCATTATCACCAGCAAAACCAATGTCTTTTGTCGAGCATGTTTCAATGACTATTTCTAAGAAGCAATTACAAAAAATTATTCCCAAAAAAATGTGCACAGAAAATTCAAAGTTTAAAATTTTTATACTGAGAACTCATTTGATTTAAAAGTCATTATATTTCCTTAAAAAATAATTTATAAAAAAACATACCTTTAACGATAACATGATAAACGTCTGGCATAATATACACTTTTTCTTTGCATTCTATAAATCCAGCTTCAATTTTGATGTTTACTGAGATCGCTGATGATGAAATCTTGTTGATATTATTGATAACAGCTCGAAATGGATGATCACAAGAATGCGCTGGGACTTGCAACTCATCTACGAAAATTAATGAATAAAAATCAACTTTTTTTTTCAAATAATTTCAGTAGAACTCACAGTATCATTAATTTTTCTCTGCTTTTACAATAATTTTACTCTATCACAGATGATAATAAAACCAGATTATAATAAGAATATTAAGTATAGTTAACAACTCACCAATAGCTTGCAACAATGTTGGTCCTTTGTACCACTGAAGTAAAGGATGACTGTCTGACGGCATATTCACCAAATTAATTCCATGTAATCCAGAAAGCGGAATAAATCTAACTTTTGTGTAAGATGCTTGTTTTCTAAGAAATGATGTTAGTGTGGCGCGCAATTCATCGTACCTTTGTTGCGACCACTCAACTGTATCTAATTTATTTACAGCGACTAATAATTCCCCTACGCCTACAAATGAATAAATCTCGCATCGCTCTTCAGAATTAGTGACAAAAAGTTATCAAATTATAGGGCACAGAAATTAACGAATACTTACTGTTATAAAAGTTAACACTCACTAACCTAAAGACCTGAGCAATATAGTATGCTCTCTTGTTTGACCTCCGAAATCGAATCCAGTCTCAAATTCTCCATGTGTGGCATTGACTACTAATATGCCAGCATCTGCCTCAGCAGCACCTAATGTAAAATGCACAGAATAAATTATAAATATTACTTCAAATTTCTAACAATCTACTTCAAAAAAATTAATTTTGAGAATATTTTTCTGAATAATAAAAGATCTAGACATTAATCAAGTGTTTATAACAACAGTTGTAATGAAGTTTTCAGTAAAAGATTAGGATACTAGCGATGAGCACATCCAATAGTGTGGTCAAGCGAAAATTAAGAGTTAGATTTAAGTTGTATATAATCATGTGCATTCAAAATACAAAACGCCAGATTTGAGCTGTTCAGAAGATAGTTCTATAGAAATCTGAAGAACAGTCGGAATGTGATCCAGCGCCAGAATCAATAAAGCGAAAACAAAAATTAACCTTTACATATATATATATATATATATAGTACATTATGTAATGCGCAGCACTGAACCGGATACTACCTTATAATTGGCTGAAGCGCCCACGTGATCACTGTAATATTCAGTGCACGCAACCTTAATGATTATGTGTATTAAAAAAAAACAGAATCTTTAAATGACGTATGAGTTACCTGTAATCATGTTCGGAATAAAATCCTTGTGACCTGGTGCATCCAAAACAAGAATTTTTCGATGCTCAGTTTCAAAACTTGTCCTTGCTACATCCATCGTAACACCGCGTTCTCTTTCTTCCTGAACTGAACACAATTATTTATTTGATAGCGCGAAAAAGGTTCTAGATCAAAGACTCAAGAACCATAAACCATACTTGTGTATCATCGAGAATCCACGCATAAGCGAAGGATGCTTTGCCTCTCTTAGCAGATTCTTGTTTGTATTTATGCATTATTCTTTCATTGATACCACCCAACTACAAAAAGTCTATTAATTTCATAATTTAATACTAAAATAGAAGATATTCGATTAAAAATTTTCTAGATTCATTATCTTATAAAAACAGTGCTAACAAAAGTATGACTTCATATCTTGGAGAGCACAAACAGTTTACTTTGTGCAAGATAACACAATGATTTATAACTTGCATAGAATATAATACGATGCCAAGAACAACAAAATGAGATGTTATATTCTAATATACAAACTGCTTTTCTGCCAAATAACTGACTGAATATTTTAATACTAATAACTACACATCTTGATATCTTTTCAATAAAAAAGTAAATGTTAAGTGCCTGATAAAGAAAATGTCCCATTAATGTGCTTTTACCAGCATCTACGTGACCAACGACAATTAAATTCACTGTTGGTTTCTCTTTTCCCAGCAGCTGCTTCAATCTAAAGACTTCATATAATATTGAAATAACACATATTTTATTTCTGCAATTTCCCATTTCCTTGTAATACTTTTTTAATGGCCTATATATTCATATCAGTTAATAGTCATCACTGATGTTATAAGAAACTACTCCTCAATGGTAAAAAATCATTACAATATTAACCACAAAAGAATTCTGATATGAAACGATTTAGCAGAAAAAGCTACAGCTTTTTCAATTATTGTTACAACAAAAGTATATAAAAGTTACTTAGGCCTCCGAACTACAGCATTTCGGGCAGCATTCAAGGCAACTAATCTACTGCTACTGCCATCTGCTCTTGTCAGTTGATTTAATGATTTATTTTCAACTATTCTTTTTTCTGGACTTTGTGACAACTGCAGGTTTTTGATTCTTTTAATATCTGTTAAATTTTCATTGAGACCAGCGTGCTGCAATATGCAGTTTCATGCTTTTAGAATGGACATGCAAAGTTTAAACCAAATATTAAAATAATTATCATTAAAAAACTGTGGTAATAAACAAGTGAATTCAACAAATTAACTCGTTTTACAACAAACTGATCCTAACAATTTGCAATAAACTCCTTTTTAGGCCAATAATGATCATTTTATGAAAAAGAATTGATCATTAATCATACACAACTTATCAACGAATCGTTTTCAAATTTTGGCTCTAGCAATTGTTTTCGAACTGATAGTTTGTCATTGCCAGCTGATGGTCTATCGTTCTTCAGGATGACAATTTTTGCTGAAGACAGTTACAAAACTAAGAAGGATGAAAAAAAAATGCTTCTGCATCGTTTTTAAAAGAAAATGATAAATGAAAAGAAAATTACATTTTTCTTCCACCACATTAAAACCGCTTGTAACTGGAACATTATCAGATTGGTCAACGACTTCGTTACTCATACTCGAAAAATTCTCCTCCGATATAAAGTCCGCAATGAAAAATCCAACTTTTTTACATTTGTCAGAATTCGGTTGCGATCGTTTATAAGCATGCTCTAGTAAGAAAATAAACAGAAAAATAATAGATCATGTATGATAACAATAAAAAGAACAGAGAAGACATCACTATTCTTAAGTGATATCACGTAAACAGCACAAAATTTGTTTGCCCATTAACTTTATTAAGAAGTCTCTGTGAGCACTTTTTGTTTAATATAAGATGAATGCGCAAATAATAAACCAAAAACTGCATTTATATTCTATATTCAACAATTCCCGAGAAAGGGAAAGAGATAAACAATAAGCACTAATACTAATCTGGTGCAGAATAATTCAGAACACCTTTCTTGTAAGAAAAATTGAGAAAAATGAAAAGAGAGTTACCTGCACCCGATTCTTCATCATCCGTTGAGATGCTATATCGATGAAAATCTTGGTCGTCTTCATCATCTCGTTCTTAAACAAAGCACGACAAAAATGAATACTCTCAATATTTTACAATATGTATAGTTTTATAAACAAAAGTGAAAAAAAAATAGCAAAGAAGCTATGTTTGAATAGAACGTGGAATGTGAGAAAACTGCAATATCTTAAACTGAGAAGGAAATTGCTATCATTCCATGTAGATGCCAACATACTCACTCATAGTCACAACCATAACGTATAATAGCCATATGCTAACCGTCATCGTAGTTCATTTTTCGGATTCTGCGATGTCGTGACATAGCGCACAATTTTTCACCAGAAAGTGAAACTGCGGTGGGAATTTTAAGTTAGGTACTAGTTGTACTACTTCACTCGGTTTCTTTGTATGTATGCAGCGTATACCAAATATGTGTTTCTTAAGAAAAATAACGCAATATAAATGCGTCACTTTTATTCATAAATTTCAGCGCACATTATTATAACACATTAGCCTAAAACAATCTACTAAATGTTTGAATGATGAAGAAAAGGACTTTTTCCTCATTTACTTAATCCTGATGTGATATATTCAAGAAAGCTCCAAGATACAAGAACAAATAATCAGGAAACAATCGCAGCAGCACATAAATTACTCCATGTCTACATCACACCCAGTGAAGCCCCAGTTTTGCATGTAAAACAGATAAGACGACAATCAACCACAATACCATTTTATAACTCATGCAGCTTATTCGCTACCTGTTTGTCATGAGATGTGTAACAGGCAATTTTGCCTAAACCCAGGATAAACGCGACAGTGGACTTTGCTAAGCATTGTATTACTGTAGTGTAGATCGAATAGTTTATGAAGCCCTTCATCAAAAGCATCCTTCAAGATGAGTGACCTTTGATGGGACTATGCTTCTCATTTAAGCTCATCTTGAATTTTCATATATTACATTCCAGAGATCTTAGTACCGCAGGTCATTATCTCACCTCGTACTTTGCAGACGTACACCTCGTGTACTCATTTTCATAATCGTTTTCTATTTGCTAATTCTAAGACCACTTTGAGAAATTACTCTGAGCCGGATTATACAGAATCTATATTGGCTGCATGCGACGAAAATTACAATCGTGCTTTCTTTACTTCATCCATATTTACTTTTCCATATTCTCCACTCTTCAAGTCAACAACTGTTAGCGCTTCAAAAGATTTAAACATTGAGCAGAATCACATGCAATGGAAGAAATTGAATTATGCGGAGCAAGGCAAGTTATGACCTTAATTTATTGCATATCACGACTAATTCCAGCAAAGAACATCATGATTACAGTTTAGTAGAGATAAAATAAAAACAAATATGAAGTAAAAAAGGAATCGTCGGAAGCCGATGATTCCTTACTTGTTACTTTTGACTGAATGATCAATCAGAAAGATTTGATGTTATATTCATAATGAATAAAAGAAGACTATACAAATTACGAGAATTAGCATTGGATAAAAAAAGTGAAGTTGACTAGAAATAAACCACAACAAAAGCTTCAATAGATTTCAAATAAATGACAGTCACATCTCCAATTTTAAACTTCTGTATGGTGTTTGCCACAAATCTGTTTGATGTTTAAGTAACAGCAAAATACTAAGAGTAGTTGTGTGCACCACAAGGCAATTCCTTGCAAAGAGCTGTGCCAAGAACGCGATCAGAATGTTCCGCGTTTACTTCTACCAATCGATCTTGCATAATTAATGATGCTGACGAGAGGTGTCGTTCTCTTTTAGTTTTCTAAGACTTCAGGATTATACTTAGAACAGGCTGAGGTTAGACTTTTCTAATTCCTCTCTTTAAGGGGGCAAATATTTGCGAAAAGAAGCAGTTAAGATTGTTCGCATTTTTCAGTTGTAAAAAAGTACTTACCGTCGAATGTGAACTTAGGTTAATGATGGCTTTTTCTAGATGTATTCGTAATGACTTTGTAGATGTTGTATCAGATATGTTTAAATCACATACAGATTGAATATTCTTAGATAAAGCATTTGAATAGGGGTACGATGAACTGATCTAAATGTTAATTATGGTCAGTGTCTCAGTTCTAGATTTAAAGCATGTATAACTTGAGATAAAATAGTCAAGTAAACAAAAATATTATGAGGATTTCTACACTATTTATAGTCGCTATGAGCATGTAGACAAAAGCTAACACAACAGTTTCAGTATTTTTTCTTTTGCTTAATCACATGTAGACTTCGTGCTCATCACAAAGTAAAAATAATTTTGCATAGATCTGAATTCCAATTTTATAAATATCAAGACAAGAAGTTTAATTATTAATTTTACAAGTGAAGTAAAACCTTAGACGGGTATGTTTGCCTTGGACAAAACTTGTCATCTTAAGTTCTTAAAATTATTCTTTTGATACACGAGTAATAAGTAGAGGTAGATCATGAAATAATGTTGGTAATAAAGCTTGAATTAGTTCCACAATGGTGGGAGACAGCTGACTTAAAATATCAACGTCAAACCATAAGTGCATCGAATGCCGGATGAAGGCGTTGTCGCCAAACAATTGAATTACAGTCTGGATAGCTCATAGAGCCGACCGATGAGAGTATAGAGCTAAGCGCCAGATCTTTGGCAATCGTGCCACCTTCCTAATCAATTAGAGAACTTGATAGAAGCATATTTTTTTAAGCTTTAAGAGTATACTTTCTACGACTTCTACTTATTACTTTAGAGTATACTTTCTTCGACCTTCATCAGCTGCTCATAATAAAAACCGAGCACAGCATAAATGCCTACTTATTTTTCTTAGATAAAGGTTAATTCACAATTACATTATTTTTCCAACTTCTATAATCAGGTGTAAAGATCATCACAAATAAGGAAAAAATTGAATTCATTCTACACAGATTTAAATTCCAGTTATTTAGAGCAAATCAACTAACAGCAATACTCGCTGGTTGTATCCATCGAAGATAGCATTCATTCCAAAACTGGACATCAATAGGGCACGTGGAAGGATGAATCACAGAGAAGTGCTTTGATTCTGCAATTTACTTTACTGGAAACGTAATTACAATGCAAGCAGGAAATTTGAATTTGACATGAAAACTACAATTAGATTTGAAATTATGCTGTTATATCTGACTTGCAAATGAACTCACCAAAATCAAACAAGGGATTAGCTGAATAAAGAGTATTCGTGAACATTAGACAATACTTGGATGTATAATACTGTGTCAGTGGGAAAGTGGAAGCAGTTTTACAGAGTGCCAATCTTTCACTTACTGAGTTGCAGGTCAATCCACTGCAAATATTAATATAGAAGATATTAGGTGACACAAATAATTAGCATCAGTAAATTTAAATAAAGATAGGACAAATCAGGAAAGTATGCTTTTGTGCATAATAATTTGTTCTAACAGTTTACAAATGAAAAATTTACACACCTAAAATTATGAAAAATATCTTACGATGAAAGACCGGTGATAGACAAATCCCACAATGCGATTAATAGATAATGTGAATATTCAAATGAAAGTGGATGAAGGCGTATCAACTGAGAAACGCAATCCAAGAATAAAAGAAAAGTTGCTGTGCATGCCTGCGGTCGAGAATGCTGCATCATATAACAATAAAGTGAAGACATCACAGTTAAGTTAACGAGAGAAATTGTAACGATCAAAAAATCATACCGGAACATTGGCCACATGGCTGCAGCCAAACATGTTGGTACCGAAAGGATGCCCTAGTGCAATCCACTCTTTTTCTATCAAGCAATTGAAACCAGATATTGTTCGATAAAAACGATCTGTACAAATCTGTATTAACGATGTTACTACTGCTGATGCATTAAAGCCATCTTCGTCTGAAAATATTTGTTTTAAAAAAAAATTCATTTCTTTAAGAAGAAAAGAAATTTAGAAAGTACTTATTTTACAGAACAAAACTTTTAACAAAACATAAGTGATCTAGATTCTACACAACATTAGAACAGTTGCCAAGTGCTGAATGGGTAGCACTAAACAAACCTATTAAAATTACAGATCTCTGGTTATCAATGACAAAGTGAATTGCCTTGTGCGACAGTTGAAGGCAATGAAATACTAAAGCGCACCAGCCTGTGTCATCAACTAAAGTGTACCAGTCTTTCTCCTTTTCAATAAATCTTCCCATTGAATCTATAAATTTTTGTGAAAGAAAAGTTATACTGAGCTAAACTCAAACTTTAATTGTTTTCAAAGTTCATGAAAAGACTTATTTCAAAACAAAATATTTCACATCGCTTCAACGATGAATGCCAATATTTCAAATCTGGAAAATCACTCCTAAGTAATTCTAACAGAATAATAAATACCTATTGAGCACAGTTCACGAAGTTTCTCAAATGAAGCTGAAATACGAGTAGCAGATATGTCACATTCAATTACTTGAGGTGTTTTACGATGAGGATGTACTTGACATACTGACCATAGCACTCTGAAATTTAATATTCAACTAACGAAAGCTACAAGTCCTCTTCGCAATCATTATTTAGTCTTTAAGAGCTGAATCATTATGCTACAAAAAAAATGCAAATATCACTTCTCCCACAATTCTTGAGCATTAAGATCCTTATTACAAGAAGATGATGAACGCAGCAGTGCACTACCATTTGGAGCTGACCAACACCAAATCTGGAGCAAAATAATAGAGCTTTCAGTTTCGAGATATATAAAATTAAAACTCAAAAGAACTTACAGGGAATCTACCATTGTTCCAGTTAGGAATTAATCTTTCATACACTGTAATGTCGAAAAGACCACTTGGGACGAGAACACAGAATGGATAACTGTAAAAAAGTTTATGAAATACTTAAAAAATGAAAGAAAAAAACACTCGTCATTTTTAAACAGTAACCGAAGACCTCGGCACAATTGCCTTTTCTCGGGATGTTTCCGATCTTAAGAAACAAATTCGCCACTGCGCTTCACTACCTCCACAACGTCGTAGTTCTGTTCGCCAGTCAGTGCTATTGTTGAATGGTAGTGAACTATTTACTATAATAGAATATATTATCGAGAATTAAAATACGTTTAATTCAGGCATTATTTCCATGCAGAGGGTTTCTACAGATCTAGAAAACGAAAAAAATTGATATGCACTTGAATGCGTAGACTTTTGGATTCCTTCAGAAGAAAGCTGAAGCAAACTGGAGAGTGAAGAAGGACGAGAAAAATGATATACATTATTTGCAAGATTAACAGCAAACTGACTTTGCTGAAGATCAAAAATCCAAACACGAAAATCCTGAAATAATACACTATGACGAAGTTTGAAATAGTTAGTCAACATTATAAATAAACTAGCATGACTCCAGCTCAAAGTAATTCAACACTCTCGCTTACTTTGGTGTATATTTTGATGGATGAAATAATATCAAGCTGTGAAGCTGGAGCTATCATTAATCGATATTTTTTTGATGATGTATCCGAACGGCAAACTGAAATTTTGCTAAAATTCTTGCACAAAAAACAAGCAATATTATTTTTGCAAACAACACAAAAACATGAAAGTTATAGTTGAGAAAGGAATAAATTGAAAAAATATGTGCGTGATCAAGTGGCTTTTCTTTAAAATACTATGAATGAGAATGAGAAAGTCCAAATAATAAAAGTGTTGGAAATAATGAAGAATATGAAAAACTAATCTTGAAAAAGTTAAAAATACTAAAAATAAACCTATAGGTGATGGGGAGCAATATATAGCAGCAACTGAACACAGTGGTACCTGATGCTCATCTTCGAGAACCAGACTTCGGCTACAACACGGGTCTGGTTGCTAAAAATGAAACAATCTCAAGTTATGGTTAAGTTTACATTATTATTAAACTCGCTTTTTTTAACGTTTATAATGATAACATTCGAACAAGAAGAGATCTAATTTTAAAACTTTGTCAAATAACCTTATCAGTAAGTGGAACAAAGCATATACGGAAGTTTGTGCAATAAAGCTTTCCAAAATAGTTATGTCTAAAGGATGGATAAAGTAAGACGTTGTCGCACTGTGATGACACTATTTCTCCTTAAAAAAATATCAGAACTTAACTTCTAAAATTTAAAGAGAACAAAAATATCGAAAAATATCGACCACTATAAACACATACCATTTATTAAACTGAAATTTGGCTCATCGGATTTCTTGACCTAAAACTTTTCCAACAATAGTACGGTATTGAAAAATTAATATTAATTACTATTAAGTCAAAATAGTACCTTATTTAAATATCATCAATCACTACATTTCGTGGTTTTTCGAAAACCAAAAAAAAAGTACAACAGAGAAAAAATTGATCGAACACATGCAAGTGTCATAAGATCTCAATATGTAACGAAAATAAATAACATCGTATACAGCACTAGAAAAGTTTAGACCTGTAACTGATTGTCAAAACTCGAAATATATGAACGAAAACTATCTCGCTGTGGTTGTTCATCTGACAGATGCAATAACATACTGCACAGTTTTCAACCAGGAACTACTGCCATTCAGTCAGTACACACCTAGGAACAAATCTTCACATGAATTATGAAATGTTTACTACTAGAGTAGAATCTAACTCCTCGAAGCAACGGAATTGATCCTCAAATCAAAAGCTATCACTTCCGCCTATCGATAACAAACAACATATGAAAATGCTGAAGGTAAATCCGTGTTATACGTAATAAACGTACTACACAGCAGTTCATTAATTACACAGAGATTTATCGAGATGAAGAATGCTAAAAATATGCAACAATTTACAAATCGTACATGACTTATCTTAGGGAAACGAATGAATGTATGGTCTGAAGTTCAAAAAAAAATGAAGGCTCTACCAGTCATGCTCAGAAAGGTTTAAAGACTCAAAACATTCATAAAAATTAAACATGTACTACATCTACATAGGAATAGAACAAATATATACAAGACGAGATTTTTCATCAATGCAATCAATCCTTTCCAGGGATAAATTACTTTAATAATCACACGCATGAACCACTCCTGCTTCTTCTTAACTCAAACTCTGTAAGATTATGATTTCAATATTTATTCACCTTTGACTCACGATGACAAATCATACTGCCACAATACACACACTGAAAATGAAATTGTTTCTAAGAATTATTTCCGATTTTATTGTGAATACAGTAGAGTTGTACCAGTATTACTGTCAGAAAAGTCACTTTAGTAAGGTTGCAAAAAGAGCTGAATTGTAGATATCAGTAATGAGCACGACAAGCTAGTTTAAAGTGGTAATAATACAATGACATTACTAATCATCAACCTGCCTAGATGAAACTGTTTGAAATCTTGTCCAACTGCCAAGCAAACAATGTTTTTTTGAAATGTCGCCTCTCGTGCATCACTATAGCAAACAGTTTAATGAAGCACATGTAATAGAAGCCAACGTATCTTTAAAATTCTTCCACAAAGAAGTCAAGACTTTAAAATCCTTCCACAAAGAAATTCAAAAACTGAAAACTCAAAGTAAATGGTAATCTAATAATAGAATCAGTATAAATGAAATAATGATAACACGAATAATTTCATGATTTTCTCATGGATATTATCATACAAAAATAAAACTATTCCATGTATTGGCCAAAGCCGCTTTCATCAATTTTCTAAAATCATAGTTCAGTAGAAGAAAATAAAGAAGGACATTGACTTCTATACTGAAACTCAATGATTGAAATTAATCGCACTTCTCATTTGATAAACTGTGTAATTGACAGAAAGGCCTAAGCAGGAGATCTCACGTTTCATTAAATTATGACATTAAAACGACAGAAAAGGAAGACTAGTGGAACGGCTATATTCCTATGCATTCATCCGATACATTTATGAGTGAATCACAGAAGAAATATCTGCGTAAATAAGTTTCAGCCTTTGTAATACGGTACTAAAGGAAGGTCTAGCAGACGGTTCCAGCATCCAGACATCATTCATCAAACGTGATATCTCACTCGGACATCCTTCTGGTGATTCCATTCGATAACCTTTTTCGATATGCCTAACGACATCTTGGATTGGCTGAAAATGATACTTTTTCAACTTTCGATATCCTGCTACATTATCCTGAAGAGTGATTTACCACTCTTTTGAAAAGAGTATATTACTAGAAAGCCATTATACCAATCATTTTTCTATCCAACAGATATGAATGAGAATAGATGTCATAGTTTTCCTTTTCGCTAATTTATTATTAACAGGAAAGAAAATCTTACGGAAAAAAAACAATGAAAACTGGGAATTAAATCTTTTACATCGAGTAATAAAAACAATTTTTGGTAATATACTCACTATTAAAATGATCTATATAAAGAAAAGTAAACAAAACAATAAAAAATCTATCAGCCTATACTATGATATAATTATACTATGATATAAAATTAATTTTGTTTCTTAATAATGTAATATCTAACTATAATGAGTCAGTTTACAGATAATAATGCACACTTTTTAAAAATATTTACTGCAAACACTTCTTTCGGAAGCTTGTAAAAATTTTCAGCAACTCTGTAAAATATATCACTTGTAAACATGAAAAAGAAAACGCACAATACGTGGATAAGGCACTCTGCCATAAGAAAATATTTCCCACAGCAATACTCCAAATGACCACACGTCGCTTTTTGTAGAAAATTTCTAAAACATTAATTTAAAAGCATTTTTTAAAGCAAAAGAAGAACAATATAATTAGCTCTTTAAATTTATAGAATGTTGCTTGAGTGATAATAGAACCTTCGTTTTAACCGTTGAAGAAAAAGTTACACTATATCGAAGAGCTTCAGGTGCAGTCCATTTGATTGGAAATTTGCTAAGAACGTTTTCTGCATACTCGCAGTCATTCTGATACTTTGCTAGCCCAAAATCACTTATTTTTGCAGTTAATCCATCATCTAGCAGCACATTTCTTGCGGCAAGGTCACGATGCACTACGCTCTTCATTTCAAGAAACTTCATTCCTTCACAGATATCAAGAGCAAACTGAGTCAGTTGTAACTTTTCTACTTGATGGCGTCCGCGTGAACGCAGAAAATCGACCTATAAGTTTGAGCATTTATAAGTAAAATAAACAAATAGTAAAAAAATGCAATGTTTTTCACAGTTATAACGATTTAAACGAACAGAAATTTCCATAATATGAAAGTAGTTTACTAGATTTCCGTTTGCCATATATTCCGTCACCATAAACATTTCCCTGGTATCATCAATTACAACACCAAGCAGGGCGACCAAATTTACATGTTTCAGACCACTGAAAATTAATATTAAGTTACTCCCTAACCAAATGATAAAGTTTTTTCATCATTAACTTACATCATAAATTTCGCTTCATCCAATAACGATTGTACCATAGCGCTTCGTTTCAAAACTTTGACTGCGACTTTTTGACTTTCGTAATCCCCCAAAAGTACATCTGCAATTTCTACAAAATATTCGACTGAAGATACGTGAGCAATGCAGGCATACGAAACAATTACTTTATTACACATCAACTTCATGAACGATAAATCCCAATTTCGGTATCATATGCTACTATATGATACTATTTCTCTGGTTATTCTATCAGAAGAGTCAAAAAAAATAAATAAATGGAAGAACTTATAACAATAACACAATGAGTCTATATAAATAACAAACCACCAAATTCTCCATGACCAATGATATCACCAAGTCGTATTTCATTGCGTCCGATAATCAACGAGGCCTCACGAAAAAGGCGTACACGATCTTCTACAGAAACGCAATCTCTAGCAATCCGGTAATTGTCACTGATTACAGGAGTTATGAGACGATGGCATAAACCATCTGCATCACGTTTGTAATGCTGAAGTAGAAAATGATTTAGTTAAAAGACTTATAAAAAGAACGCAAATGTTATTGATACAAATGTTTTAATTGTTTGACGTTTAAATATTGTGTCTAAATAAATAAAAGAAACAAATAAACAAAATGAATTTATATATATGAAAAAGTAGTTTACAAAACAAATATTGTATTCTTACGGCTATCAATTGTGTCAAATTCACGAAATTTTCTTCATGATCACATGTTAGAACACCATTTAACTGATAAATTCTGCAATTCAGTAAATCACATTTAATTACGTTTTCGCTCTTGCAGCATCATTTATACTATTAATTGAAGAAACTAGAAATTTCCTACATAAAAAGATACTCTCTATTACAAGCAATGCTCCCAACAATTATTTCATATGCTTTTCATAGTTACCTTTATAAAAAAGTACCTGTAATGCTCCACCTTTCCATTATAAGCCATGCATAATGTAAAATCGCCGGGAAAGTTGGTAGAATCACGAACAAGAAATGTCCCATCAGCTCGTCTTGCCAATATTCTGAAAAACTATTACAAAATGCTATGAAAATAAAAACAATGGAACAAATTTTAAAAAGATTAAATGAATTTTAAAAGCAAACTTTATTTCAAATTTTTTCAATAAAAAAAAAGTATGGAAAGAAGCTAACTTTTCAGTATGCTCTCGAGTAATATTACCATGGTACCAAGGCATCAGTTGCAGCTCCTTGCTAGCCAAACATCGTTTTACAATGCTTCCTGCTATGCTCATTTGTTCACCATTCATGCTCCCTCCATTTTGTCTAACACAACTACCGCAATCAATATTATCAAAAGTATGAGTTCCATGCCATGTTTTATCCTGTAATAACCTGCATTTTTCATTGCTTGAGTAGCTGAGATAAATGCCTTGTTCTTAAAAACCACAGTAAACAACTACTTATTACAAGTTATATTCTTTGAGCGTGATCATTAAATAGCATGAAGGTATAATGAACACAAAGTTTTGTCAGTCGTACCCACTAATTTCTTACTTTTTAGACCTTCCGCTATAACAATCTTTACCTAATACGTAAAAAACCTTCCGCTATAACAATCTTTACCTAATACGTAAAAAACGCTCAGTTTCGTAGTTCATAGTGAAAAAAAGAAAAAAATTCAAGTATTAATTCAAACTGTCACTTGAATTTTTGAGTGGGCTTTCCATGTTACCTCAGAAAATATGAAAATAGCTGCGAAGTGAAATTATGGAAAAACGAAAAGTTACAGAAACAGAAGGTGCTAGGCGTACACTATCCTCTTTTCGATAAACGTTATCATTCATCAGCTGAAGGGATAAGCAATACTGATGATAACGAAGATAATGATGATACTTCTGAACACGCCCTTTTTTTCCTTAAAATAAATATGTAAACAAAATATTATTGAATGACTTTTATACAGAACTGATGAATACCAATGTTTCCCGATTTGAGAGAGAATAAATAGAAAATTTCAAAGAGATTCGAAAATAACGAAAACGAAAAGTTGAGAAGTGTGCTGCTGACATGAGTAAAAATGATATCGCCCGACTTATTTATTCCAAGGAAATTAATGGTAACGAGATATCTCGGGCGAACTGGTTTTTACAAGATGACGAGCTCATTCGTCACCAAAACGATTTATCCAAGCATTTATGTTCTTACTAATGACGAATTATCATAAAACAATAATTAAAGTAATAATGTAAATCACAGATTAATAACAAATATTGCGTGAAATTTGTACGGAAAAAAATATAATGAAATGAAGCAAAGAACTATGCGTGTTACAAGATTATTGCTTGATTTCTCTTATGAGTTAGAGTTATATGGAAAAATACTCTTTCTTTAGAGTTCAGTGCAATAAACATTTCAAGACAACCTCTGGTATTTCAGAATCAGAATAAGTGGAAGTAGAAGAACGAATGGAGAGATGTACAAAGATACAACTGAATCTCTTATACGCGGCCAACTTTCAGAGGAAAGTTAATGCCTGTTGACTGCTATAGTATGGTTTATTCTATGCGAGCGAAATTAAAATTACGGGTACAGATGAATAGACTATCGAATAATGGGCTCAAAGTAAGAACAACAACCAGATCAGGAATTTCTATCAAAAAGAAAAAATATTTGCTCCTGAGGTCATTTCTGGCGATGACACATACTAACAACCATACTACTTTTTTGGATGACTGCTATTTCGTATAAACATAACGATATGTGGAGTGAAAATGACAAGATTAAGCTTCTGCTCCCTCCCAAAAATGGACGTTATTAGAACGAATCTAGTCCGTGACCTAAAGTTAAACTATAATTCACATCCTACACTTGCCCGTTTTGTCCAACCTTAAATTATCTGTAAGCAAATTTCTGCAATTACAAAGCTATTCCACTCACACTCAACTGCAGTACTTCAATGATACTAATTATACGAGACTGACCTTCCCACTGCAGCTTTTGCTATCAATCAGTACCTCTGTTCCCAACTGCTGCTGACAACTTATGCTCTGATTTTTCGTAAATGAATGGATAAACAATGATGTGCAACGAGACGTTCTGCGCGTTTATTTCTAAATTATTTTGGCATGGATCCTTATGCAATAAAGCTATCCCAATCTTTTGTGAAACTGTTGTACGTGGTCTGACGAGGTTTAGGCATGCCAGTTTGAGTGAGCATAAAAGGAAGAGCGGAAGGGGCATTAAATTAGAATAGCACAATGTGCTAACTTTTCAAATTTGTAGTATAATACTTTGGAAAACCTGCAAAACACTGCCGGATAAGGATGGATACTAACAAGCGATTTACACCCCAAAAGTAACAGCAGTGGGATGAATTTGGAAGGATCATTTTCTCGCTTAAACTGTTGCAGTTTCTCTGAACGGAAGTGTGATGGGTAAAAGAATTGATCAGCTGGCTACCAAGTTTTCAATAAGAGTAGAAAGAAATGAATTTGTCTGTTACTAATTAGCCGAATGATTACTGCACTGAAATTATGCAAATTTTCTGATTTTGCGGTAAAATGTTGAAAGTGCATTTACTTTATTAATTTGTGTGAAATTTATAATAACTATGCGGGCGGAGAATTTTAACTGTCTCGCAATTATTTATGACTTGAAGGAGCGAAAGAACGAGTTCTTGGGAACAGATTCCACAATTAATCACTCACTGATTTTGCACAACTTATAATTGTGCATGCAAGAAAGTGCTATTCTACATGTTATAGTGATGAAGTATTCCTTTCCACGCATACTTTGTTTTCAAACAATAAAGCATTTTAGCAATCGCAAGCACGTGCTGCCATTTTTACATTCATCGATGAGACGTGACCCTTGTCACATCAGTTACTGAGGTGTTCAGAAAGCGAAGGCAGTTTTCTGAGTTCATTGTTTAGAAGGAGATATTTTTATTCACAGACTTTAGCATTTGTTTGGAACTTTTCAATTCAATTTCAATACCTTCCTCGGTATGAAATATTGCTGTGATATTTTCTGATTAAGCCTCGAAGAACATGCAGCTCTGAATAAAAACTGGTCAACTTCATCGTCATCAGAGCGCAATGAATTGGAGAAAGAGCTCTGAAGTCATTATGTGCAAAACTGTAAATGCATGGTTGACTGGGCCAATATATGAACTGACTGACCTGTTAACTACGTGATACAAGCCAGTTAAGATCTTTCTATCTCCGCGTACTTGCAGGGGACGTGCGCTTGCTTTGAGAGACAGAAAGAAGGGAGTGAAATGATTACAGATATGCCCGCGATGCTGCCTGCACTGGTGCTTGCATGGGTCATCGAGTTATGGGCGATAGTGATGAGAAGGTATCAGGCTTGATTGTTTCATTGCGAAAATGCGTAAAATAAATTTGTCTCCACTCTTTTCTTCATTCCATGTCTTCATATCGGTTGAGATGAATTGAATCCCGATGAAAGTCATTGAGTTTTGAGAAGAAGACTGCTGAACTGGACGCTCAGCAGTCTTCTTGTCTTTGTTCAGTTACTTCCAGATTTATGTACGCTCGTTGCGCTCGAAGTAGACGGCACTTGAAATTCATGCTGTTCGTTTTATATGCTTCTTTGTATAGAGTAAAGTTTGAAAAGATGTCAATTCATCAATCTAAAAAGTATTTTCAGTGTATGAAGGACTATAAAAATGAAAAGAATTATATTTCTAAGCGTGAGGAATTTGCTAATCTGAACGGCATAGCTCTACTTTATTCTAGCTCATCCTCTAGTCTCATTTCCAGCAAATATCGACGCAAGTGATCATTTCTTGAAATTGAACACTAATAGTAAATTACAATCACAGTATAATGCAATTACTTGTTATGGTAGTAAGCTGCCGTATATTTTCCAAAAAGTTGCATGAAAAAGTGTGCCAGTTAAAGAGACCAAAGATGCAGCTTTCAATAGCAATGAGTAATTGTCAAGAGCAAACTTTGAAGATAAAATAAAGCTATTAGGAAGTATTTGTAATTACTTTATGTCTGAAGAACTGTGGAAAATTTTCGTAATATGTAAAATGATTTCCACGAATTCATTCTGCTAGGAATCTTGTCAACTTCATGTCATGCCATCTATGGAATATGAGGCATATTAAAATTGAGGAAAATGTCATCCAAAATACCTCTGTGCAGTGCATACGAATAACAACTTGCTGTGGAAGATTCCAGGATGGCTACTTTTCCTCCTGATATTTTCATAATTGCTACTTTTCACATCATGTTAATATCACAGCTGTCACTTTATAATCATAAATGTGTACATCAGTTGAAAAAAGCGGTGAGACATTGTTTGCAGAACTTTGAATGCATGGTTAACTGTGCAGAAGCGACTGTGGAACTCACTGACTACCTGCGTTCATTATTAAACGAAATAATTGATGACAATTGTTTATAGCCATTTGAGCAGCAACCTCAGGAACGAACGAAAGTGGAAGCGAAGATGCAGCATGACGTGAAATACTGATGCTCACATCTAGAATGCTTGATACGTCTTATATTACGTACTACCACTACTCTCTCACAACGATTATACTTTTTTAAACTGATAGTAGTTTTGTTTTAGAACGAGATTTTGTTCAAATATGGATTTTATATTTTCGTCATAGATTTTCTTGTAGTACTGTTTGTGCTTTTCTCTAATACGTTTGAGCTCAAGAATGCTTGCTTTTGTTAATGGGCAAAGATAACTTTGCAACTGATTCGCTTAACTTAACTTGTAATACTATTCTATGTATGAATGCATGACCAAAATGAGGGGATAGTTGTGGCGATACGTGCAATTATTAGCAACAAAAGTGAAGATTTTTCAGATTCCGTTTTTGAGCAAATTTTTTCGCTGTCTCTCTGATTTACATCTGCTTAAACTTATATCTGTTTTGACTGAAACGTACACTTATTGTGTCATACTTGGACTTGCTAGAGCATTTGAGCGAAATGATCGCAGCGTTCATTGAAGTGAAGATATTAGTTGTGTAGGATACGTTGATAATATCGAGCGGAGAGCATGGAATTCATTTCTCACTCGTTCACTTTTTGATTTCTAGAATTTTATGAGTGAGCGAATGTGTCGGGTAGACAGCTGGTTGAATTTTCTTCGTGCTTACGTTTTTGTTTGCTTTGATGATGAATGAATTTCATCTTAGGAAACAAATCATTGCACCAAAATTACTGCTACTACTGACCAGGAAACTTTTCAGAATGCACCTACTTTACGATTCAGGGCAGAATAACAGTCTGATATCACTGCTGCTAGCTCCGATCTAGTTGTGTGAATCATTTGCATTTGTAGCGAAAGACTGCGAAATTCATCAGTTTTATGATTCTGTTCGCTCGAATTCTTTTCTTGTTCATCACCTCCGGTACGTTGATAGGTTTAATTTTTTTGACTTACAAATGAATAGCATTTATTTGTGCAAAACTTGATATGATGTGGGAGAGAACGATTACCACATTCCCTAATATTATACCTCATTTTGTACGTAAATATAAAAAAAATCTGGGAGTTCACACTAACAACTGTTGTAAGTACTTTATCTCGCGGTTCTGACGTTGGAATAAAATTTGCACGTAAAAAAATATTTCAAAGGGGAGAAAAAAGCTCTTCGTTTTGATGCACACTATTTGCAAACTGTCTTTAATTTACTCACTCAAGTATAAACAAAAATATGATGACAAGATTCTGACACTACCTACCAAATTAGTTTGTTCTAAGATTTTTGAATCGAAATTTTCTATTTGCAACTTTAGATGTGAGCACAGGAGCATTATTTGGTATGAGCTGTGAGGAATATCGAAATGACTTATCTGAATGGTCTGAATGCATTATACCGCAGGGTGATCTTGTTCATGCAATTACCAGTTTCTTGAGAAGTGTTAAAGACTTCGGATGTAAAGTTAGTCTATTAATATCCACAGAAAGCACTCATTTACAATAGCAACTTTCTAACTTTGGCATATAGACTAAGTAAATTGATTTTCAAACTAAGATTTCTTTTACTGGTAGTATTCTTAGTCAAATATTTGTTTTTCCTTTTCACTAGTTCACTTTTAATCAATTTGTAGTTTATTTTAAACTAACAATTATATAGCACAAAAATCCAGATCCTTCATTTTGATTACAAGAAATAATAACAAAAAGAAAACCAAAAATTAAAATCTATAGTATATCTACTACAGCTTCCTCCTCGGAAAATTATTAAGCTCGGACTGAATTTTCTGCGCAACAATTCAAAGAGCTATTTGGAGCATCCACTTTATAAAAGAATCAGTGTTCAAAGCTGCGGTAAATGTGGTAGACGGATTCGGTGCTGCAAGTGAGTTTATTTAGCGTGTTTTTTTTGATAAATGCATCCATTTAATGATTCTTTTCGGAAGTAAACAGTGATGAGATCTAAGAATTCCAACATTACTCTATTGAAAACCTGACTGGTATTAAATTAATTGCGCCAGAAGACATATTTTGAATTTCAGGAGGTCAAAATCATTTTTAGCACAAGCTTATGAGTCAGAAGCCTGTTCTGCAGCTGATGCATCCTGTATCTTTGATCCACTTTCATCTACCGATATACAACAACTCAAGGTTCTTTAGTTTCCGCATTTACTAATAATTTTTTCCTATATTCATGAGAATCTAAATTAAGCATTAAGCAAACAAATCTTTCTGAAATCAAATTACAAACACCAATCTTTATACAGTACAAATTTCATAGAATTTTTAGGAAATTTATCCAAAAGTAGCGGTACCACTGAATAAATGTGATGTGTCAAGTTACGTAGCAGAAGAACTGCAAACATTAAGTCAAGGACCGGCATATAAATATGTGGAACCACTGTTGTGCCAGATTTTAGGCACCAGGATACCCGCCGTAAATTGCGTACTATTTGGTGATAAGTGCCATTGCTGTTGCTTTTCATACACTCCACAACGTGATGGGAGATGCCATTTGAACAGCACTGATATCGGTTCAGCAACACATTGTCCTTCACAAATATGAAAGCAAAGAAAATGTACGGTTAAAAATGTCACTCAGTTTTTCTCCCATTTGCGGTATAGATATGTATGTGTGAAGCATTACTCCATTAATGATTCTGACTTGAATGAGCATGAATTTCAGTGTTCTAGTTTGATAGTGGATCTACTGATTGACATATGTTTATTCACTCGTAAATAGCTAGTATTAAAAGGGATGAATGTATTAACTGGTAGTAATAGATTTTATGAGTGTAAAAAATCCTACATTCTGAATTCACTTTATGATGAAAATGACTTCAGAATCTATCCCAAATTAAACGCTAGCACGTATAATTAAAAACAGGTTGCCAATGTTTTATATAATTACTTCGATCGAATAGTTGGTTGAAAAATGGATTCTTCGCTCCATTTTTGTCTTACATTTGGACATTGTTGCATCGTATTTTAGGAATGAAACTGGTAAGTACTGTGTTATGTTTATTCCGTACAGCTGAAAATTCACTGAACAACATCAAAAGTGAAAATAGAATACTCTAAACATAACACTTCCATCTAATGATGATAGCAAGTAAAATGCAATAGAAGAAATAAAGGAGAGACGCATAACACACGGTAGAGCTTGGATAAAAACTGATAAACATTGAGTATAAAATGCAACAAATATTTTGTAATTCAAAAGACATAGGAGTATTTTTTTAAGATACCCATTTTCAATAGTTATGAAGTTTTGCTTCCATTAATGGTGAATTCACGATGAAAAATTTTATATAGTTAAGTTAAAATCATATGCAATCAATCTTGCAACTTTTCAAGTATACTGCCAATCAGTTTCCTACATTATAGTGCAATATTTAATGAAATGAATGGTCAAGCATAATCAACATGAAAATGTAATGCATAAATGAAGAGAAATTGAAAATGCAATTTTAAAACATTGTTCACGTAAAACAGCCTTGAAAAATGTGTACCTTAAACTGGTAAGCTACCATTTGAAATATTGGGCCAAGGATTAATAGTGTCTTGTGCACTAGTTCTTTGCTCGTTTGTGCCTCTCGATACTTGATTAATCCGACTGTCAGCATTATAAATTGAATTGGTTCCATGAAGTGACGAAGAAACATAAACAACTTGAATTCCAGGATGTTTTGTGCGCTGTAAACAGCCAATTTGTTTAGGATTATTCACATAACTCGATAGTAAAAAACATAACAAATAAAATATTTAGTTAAGTAACTGAAAAAAACAGGACAAAATCAACTTACACTGCTTTCCACAACCTTCAGAGCAGTCAAATGTGCACTTTTACACGATAGATAATAACGGCACTGGCATACTGCTCTTAGCATAAGTGCTTGAACTATTACTAATATGAGCAAGGCAGAGATTGAAAATACATAAATACCAGTTGCCTTTTCCTTAAAAGAAAAATCGAGTGGAGGTGAATGCAAACGCAGCACTTGAAAGCTGAAACAAATTTCAAACGTTTGCAAATAAAATATTTCCATGACAAAACAGTACTAAGTTCTATTAATGATTAAGTTACATTAAGTAAAGGTTCCATAAAACAGCTAATGACAACTCGAAGTAAAGTTCTCACTGAGTCCGAAAAATCTTACATATTAGCATTGCTAAATTTGCAATTTTAACACAAAGGAAAAAAAAATAGAACTTACAATATCAATAATACTTCGACCCCAATAGTAACAACATACGTAACAATGAATGGCAAAAGATAATGAGAAGCTTGTTTTTTGATACCAGTTATAACGTCATAGTGTATCAATATACCCATCAAAAGATAAATAAACAGACAAGCTAAAATAAACATCACTAATGACAAAAATTCACGAATATGATCAAATGGTTCAAAAAATATATATCAAAAAAAATATTTATGTTTAAAAATGTTTTTTTCTCGAAAAAAAGAAGCAAAATTATAAACAAACTATGAGGTATAGGGTGTAGATTTATGTTAGTTAGTGAGAAAAAAGTAAAAGCAAACAAACTATGATAAAACTAATATTTTCGATCTATAACAGAATTTCTTATTAGCTATGGAATATGCTCTGCTTAATCTCAGTAACATTGAAATAATTTAGGTGAAACCTTTTTTGCAATAAACTAGTTCAGTAAACCACAAAACATCAGAAAAATAAAAAAATGATAAAAGTATTTCGAAAGATACTCAATGTTATTATATCAATTCCTGTCTTGTGACTGTACCAATCAAATTCAAAGAATACGGATATAAATACCAAGATGACCGTTGACATACCGAATCCAGCAACAGACTGCAAAATATACTCATTATTAGAGTAAATGAATGACATCTACGAACCTCGATACAATAATACTAATTCTGTTTAAAAGAGCAGCTAAATGTTTTAATACCACTGCAGCCTTTTGAGCATGACAAAGTTTAAAGAATACAAATTTTGGGTCATTATCATCAAACTGTGCAATGTAAATCCTCGAAGGGCGTGGACGGTCATCTAAGACATCACCTGCAAAGTAAAAAAGTTGACAATGAGCTGAATAAATACTTTCAATTAACAAAAAGCAGGAGGAAGAGTTTTGCGACGAAATTATCACAATCGCACTAAGTATAAATCAGCAAAACTTAATGACTACTTTCGTCTTAAAATAATTGAACTGCTGAAAATGGATACAAAAATTAAATAGCCTCATATTATTTACGAATCACAATGTGCAAATCATTGTAGTAATACCTGGGCCGCCGAATCGAGAGTATGAAACTGAGCAAGCATTCCTGTCGCTAAAGAGCAACCTCCAAATCGTTTTCATTCCTTTATCTTTACCAAAAGTACTGCAAGAACATAAATATTAATTACTGTAATAAAGCATTAAAAAAAGGATATATATTAGACAATGAATTGAGCCATGGAGAATGCAAGGAATTAACATTTTCAATATTTTCAGTGACTGGAATACTTTCGGGCAAAAATAGATGTTCTTCTTAAGAAACAGCAAAACAAATCAAACAAAACACAAACAGACTCCAGACAGCAAAGAAACATGTTTCGACATAAGAAAACTAATTACCTGTAAGTTGAGATTAGAAATGGACATAATGACCTTTCTATACGACCACGACCACCGCAATTTCGTTGGTCTGTTCTGAAAGGGATGTTGGGATAAGCAAATGATTTTGGACGTACATGTTTGTGGTACTTAATTGGTGGGTGAGGTTACATGTCTTTTGATTTATTTATATCTTTTATATCACATAACGTAAACCTACGTTATGTGTTCTAGCTATATCATTTAAATTTAATTTGTGCTAACCACGTCTGAACATTATTATATCGTCATTTGATTGCAGGTTGTCCAAGTGTTGAAAAATCATAGCAGCAGTCAGGATGGATTTCAATTCAACCAGTCCAAGTCTTGACTCAAATGACCCAAACTGGAATCAGTTTTTGCAGCAGTTGCAAACAGAAAATCAACGGCAAAAATTCACTGAGCAGGTAAGGAATTTCCTTCATCCTTTCTGTGGCATTTCATTTTCAAAGCTCATTCAGGTTTTAGATTCTGTACAAACTGTTTCCCTATAGAAACTAAGATCATATAGTTATTCGCGAAGTTCTTTTTTGCCGGATCAGTTGTTTCTGTTGAACTTCCTTTAAGTAAGATATAATTTCAGAATAGATTATTGTTCCATCATCCATTTTTACCGAATTTAGATTTTTACATTTTTATAAATTTATTGTTTAGATATTAATGCTGAAAGTTGTGTATAGATGATAATCTTGGCACTTTCGAAATAAATATTTTCAAAATTGTGTGTACACGCAATTTATATACTAATTATCAGTAAAAGTTCAGGTAAGAATATTTTTATTATCTGCTGAAGTCGGTTCACTACTATAATGCATTTCTTTAGGTACAAACATTGACAGGTCGTTGTTGGGATGTATGTTTCTCAGATTATCGATTACCAAGTAAATTGGATGGGAAAACACGAAACTGCGTAAATAACTGCGTCAATCGCATGATTGATGCTAGTAATTTCATGGTTGAGCACTTACAAAAAATGAGTGCTACTCAACTCAGTTAATGTAGTATCTTGAAGCATAATTCAAGATTTCTTCGCATATGAACATGCAATACAAAGTTGTTATTTGTATTATGCTTTTATTTTTTTGTCTTGTCAGTTAAAGTGAAACTTTTAAAGGTTTTTAAGTTTTTAGTCCTGCGGGTTTATTATTGCTTTTCAGTTATGATTTAATTACAAGTTGCATAGGACCAGGTATTTGGAATTTTGAAGGATATCATGTTGTAATGTACGATAAAGTAATGTCCTATTATGTACGGTGACGAAATTTCATTCTGTATACGATATTTTAAAACTTTTTAATTTCCATTTAGTTCAAATATCTATCCATAATGCGAGGCTCACATAGAGGATTTCTGCAATGTTGCAAATGTTCTCCTTAGTGAGTCCGGTAACAGGAATTTATATTTACATTGGTGATAAAAATTGCACTCAAAACGTATTAAAGCGCAGCACAGCCTGCGTGTACTTTGCTTTTCATACTTGTTCTTTCCATCATTTAATTTATAATTTATGCTTAGTTCATCTATCCACTAGTACAATCTTTCAATTCGAAAGTGGAAGGATAAATTAGTTGAATACGGAAGTAATACAAATTAATTAAATTCTAGGGATGAAGAACCATTAAGTGGGATGTACGTCAAATCTTGCTGTCTTTGTCTTATAAGAAGGTATTTTCTTTCACATGTAATTACTGACGATGTATTTCTATACTGCACTTTGTTAATGTGTGACCGTTCCCAAGAATGCACAAAAGGCATCTTTTGAGCGTTCATGTCTAGACATAGTTTATCCTTAGATTCATTTGATATAATCGTTTTCACTTCCTCACAGACCAGAAAAACCAGGTGACTGGCATCATTTGTCTCTTGTATTACGTACTAATCAAACGGTTAAACCGTGTCACTTCGAGAAATGTGATCCAAGGAAGACATGAATAGAGATTTTTGGAGTAATCTAGTAGCAAGGCAAATGAAAATGAGCTTTCATCTACGTATATAAAATTTCAACTAAGAGTTAATTAGCTACAATTTGTTCAGTTCCATGTTTGAATGTATTACAAAGTTGGTAGGCTCCCATGCTCTTATGAGAAAATTTTCTGGGCGAGTAGGAGTAAATAAGCAATAAGTGAGAAGAAAATTGTGCGTAATTCAAGGGGATATACTACTACTAGAAATATATTTGAAAGAGTTTCCAAAGGAATTGCTATGGACGATTATACAGAACAAGGCGCATCTGGTCCAGGCATTTGCAAACGAATCTTGTCAAGTAAAGTCGTTAAATTAGCTAAACAAAAGGGGAATTGAGGATTTACGGTTGATTGATATTTGCGGACAGTGATCTACAATTAGTTTAAAAGCAGTTATTAGTGTTTGCTACTGAGAAGTCATATCTGATTTGACAATTTATGTTGGGTGATTTTGACTTGAAATGTGTGCAAGGTACATTACATGGGGATTCAAACTTACATTAATTAGGTGATTATGGACTAATTAATCAACAAATTGAACTAGAAAAGGAAATTGATAATTTGCAAATGGGATGCATTTTCCTTCAGTCCTTATTGTTTCCAGATTTGTAATTGCCATCGATTTTCCGCGATAATTCTATTCATTGTCGGAAAATTTGACTCGAACTTCCAATTTGGCGCAACTAGCACTGTTGTTGCTTATAAGCCACGAAACTCATTTATGGCTATTGTTTGGGTCGGAAAATCAAATGCAGTGCTTGGTTGCTAATATTGACGTAACATGAATTATTCCAAAATTGAGGCTTCTAAATCTGAGGCTTGGCTTTTTCTGGCATCTTTTCCCAAAAATATGCCCTGCCTCTAAATCTAGCTAGTCTGAGATGGCTACTATTGTTCTCTTCTTGCATTACTAATATTTTTCGACTTTTTAAAACTTCCCAAACTTTGATTGCCATTTTCCAACATTCATTCTAGCCTCATTTATATTCAAATAGTCGGAATAATACTTATATCAAGAAATTCCAAGCAATTTCAGTACAATGAATAGATTATTTCTTGTGGTATATTTTATGCTGCGTGTAATAGCTATTATTTCTACTGAAATGTGCCAGTACTGTCGATGTGACCGACATTTATTAACAGTTACTTGTACTGGTCACAATATTATCCTACGAACAATAAACGCTCCTCACTGGGTACAAACTTTATATTTCCATCATATGTCTTTAAGACATTTGCCCCATTTTGCATTCAACGATAATATCAGGATCTTGCGCATAAACTTCTGTGGTTTAACGCACATTCATCCATTATCGTTGACTTCCTTACCCAATCTACAAAGCTTGCATTTAGCTGACAACTTAATTGTAGATCTGCCTAGTGAATGCTTCTTCGAGCTGACTAAATTACGCATTGTAAATTTAGCACGAAATTTAATTCATAACATAAATTTTATCGGGGAAATATTCCCGAAAAATCACATATTGGAGCAGTTCAGTTTGGATGGTAATCCGATAGAAAGTTGTTCAGTTGGTATTCAATTGCCATTAGTTCGACAACTGTATCTTTCCAGTACGAACATGCAAAGCATCAACGACTCTGCAATAATTTTTCTGCCAAGTTCGCGATGTATAGCTTCTGAAACATTGTGTCGCACTTTGCAAATATCCAGTCAACACTGGTCCATTTTGCGCACTTTGGATTTATCATCTCATAAAGAACTAACAATACAACCATCATTTCTTGGAGTAATTACGAATGTAACCACACTCAATCTCGACGAAAGTAAGCTTCCTGCTTCATTCCCAGACTGGTTGCAGTTTTCTAGTCGAGCACGACATCTCAGCTTGTCATCAAGTACTGTTGTCGATACGAATCATACCTGGAAATGGTGTGGTGAGTATCTAGAATGGCTTGACATATCCTACACTGATCTTCGAGTTCTTATCATTCCAAGTTATTGCCAGCTCCGATACTTGAAGGCAAATGGCAATCATTTGAGAGAAGCTTCTATAGATACCACTTCCTTGGTAACATTATTCTTGGAACAGAATGAACTAACATCCTGGATTATACCACCACCTGGCAATACCTTCAGTCAGCTCTTAACTCTTTCACTTGCTTCCAATAAAATCCGTTACTTACCCGAGAATGCTTTAACATATTATCCTCAACTTCAACACTTCGACATTTCACACAATATTTTGACGAACCTATCCCACCATTCATTCCCAACAATTGGCATGCAAGTTCGCTTCATCAATATGTCCCACAATAAGTTATCACGTTTTGTACATCCAGTACTGCCCTCTTTACTACTGCTTGACTTATCTAGTAATACTCTTCAAGGTTTAGATACAGCGTTGCTAGCAGGACTACCACTTCTACAGCACTTTTATCTTGGTTCAAATGTCAATTTATTCGCAGAGTGCGACCAGCATCGGGAATGCTGGGTTTTATCTCTCAATCAGCTGGGGAATTTAATTGATTTGGATCTTTCGGATTGCAATCTTGAGTGGCAACCAGATCTTTCAAAATTGCAAGCATTACGTAAGCTGGACTTATCCCGGAATCGCTTGCCATTGTTGAATGGCGCTTTACTACCTCGTAGTCTTTATCATCTAGATGTCAGACAAAACCTCATTCACTATTTTCTCAATGAAAGCTATATGAAGAGTAGTGAATTACGTGAAATCAAAGTTTCGCAGAACCCACTCATTTGCGATTGTAAACTATTAGAAATGAACCGATGGATCCCAAATGATACATACTCTGCGTCAACCAATGACTTATTCTATTGCTTTTCTGAAGGCTGGCAGTATCCATTAAGAAGCTATTTGGATACGGTGAAAGCATGTCTCCCAGCTGAATCTTTATGGCCTCCGACGTCAATTACAGTAGTCATCGGTTTTTTACTTTGTATCACTTTAATCTCAATTTCATTCATTTTTGTAACAAACTGGAGGGTATCACGATACAGTAGGTTCCTATCGTTCACATACAAACCACTTCGAACCCATGACATATCGTCCACCGCCATCGGAATGTAAATGATAATTTGCCTAATTTAGAATGAACTGTAGAGAGAAAATCTTAACTGTCAAGAATACTAAAAAAATAACTCCATGCATTATTCTTGCTTATTGTAATCTTTTCCATCGAATAAAAAACTAATTTGCACTTGTTATTTAATTTTGTATTGTAAAAAAATAAGGTTCATAGAATTTTCTTGTTCCTGTTTTAAATCTATCCACTTATTTTACGAAGAACTGATTCTTAGTAAGAGGATTTTCTAGAGAAAATTGTAGGTTAGTACAATGAAATCAGTAAAACCCGCCTCACTACCGTATAAGGAAATTTCTTCATTCCATATATTTTTCTACAAAATTACTACTCCACCATCCACTATACCCACCATTACTTCATTATCAACATTACAAAATATATACCTAAATGCTTTTTGTACTAAAATGCAGGGCAGTTTGTAAAATGAGTACTCTCTGATTTTCTTCTTTTTGTACTTCCATGATCGTGATTTGACAGAATAAAAAGACAATTATGAGTGAAAACTGTGATACTATTCTTATTTTCTCCCAAAGCATAATTTTTGGATTGAACTGACTCTTGTTGGCGAAGAAGACGATAGTGATGTAACAATAATTATTAGACATAAATGAACTTGAGATATGCCAAACTGTCAACCAATTATTTCCGACGGTTATTAGGTGCAGATATAATTCACTTATATGAATCAAATAAACTATATCTTATTGACATGGTGCTCTTTCCAAATATTTTTTTCGCTCTCATTCAGTACCAAATATACTTAATCAAATAACCATGGAAAGATCTTTTTGATCACAAAAATGACTCTGTGATCAAAAACAAGACTAACATAATAAATAGTTCGTACTTTTGCTATATAATGACTGATGTTCCATGATACTGGCAATGTTGCATATCATTACACAAAAAACTGCAAATAATATGTTCAAGGATATATAACCTTCCTCTACGTTTTCTTACTTTCATCAACATAATTTTTGAGTACTTAAAAAGCTCTTTAAAAATCTCATTTCCGATGGTTATTTAACCAACAATGAACAAAATTTTGCTGCCAAATAAGTTATTATTTAGAAGATCTCCCCGCCTTCCACCAGAATCATTTAGTGAATGTTTTTGTATCACTAATGCGAAATTACAATCTTCAGATATTTGTTTGGTTTTCAGCACGAACTCGTTCCTTAATTATTCCACTCGCTTCGCCGGGACAAGCATTGCAGTAAAACTTCTTAAAAAAGCTAGATATATTAGCAGTTGACAGTTAATATTTTTGATTCATTAAATTCCGATGACGACTTCGTTCGTTTGATAAAAACACAAACCATTTTTGTATTTTCCATCTCCATAAGTTATCATCCGGGAATCCAATGTTACTACTAAAAGTCTAATTCATACATCGAATTGTCAAGAACAACAAATTTTCGGAATGAAAATATATAACTGTTTTGAAGCGAGTATTTCATTTTTCACATTTAAATTATCAAAATGGCTAACTATGAGTAATAATGAAATCAAAATTAAACTATTGATGTCCATATTTTGAATGATGCTATCTTTAAATTGTAAAAAAAATAAATTATAAAGCTATTTCGAATTAAGATTTTGAACAACTGCCACGACATTTACTTGCTAATGGTTAAGTTGATGGAACACCAATTCCCTATGGAAATCATTTGCTTCGCTGACAGCAACAATCAACTCCCATGCAAACTTTCCTAATTCTCTTTTCTTCTACATTTATCAGCAAAATTTTGAACCACCATCTCTGAAATAAGCAAAGTGATAATTCAACATGTACGCAATAGATAATGATTGAGGAAGATAATAGCTGATAATTATGAAAAAATATAGCACAGTAAGACAACTTATACATTTTTTATCGAGAAGAGCATTTCTTGACGCAAACCTTTCACAAATTTGGAAGCAGTAGATATGCCAAGTGTTGACAAACAATTAATAACAGAAAAAATCCCACCCCTAATTATATAGTTTTCCGATCATTTCAAAGATTTAAATCATAATTCTGAAAGTTATCTTCATTTCTACCTTTGCTGTGGCTAGTTTCCTCATTTCCTGCTTACAACGGCAAGAACGAACACACTATTTTACGAGGGCATTTTAAAGGTAATTAAATTAGAAATAACGAATTATATAGCACATTTTCTTGTAACAAAGTTTAAGTCTAACATTCAGCATTCGTAATTAATAATTTTAAAATTTGCCAAGTGTTCATTAGATAGAACGATCTAAAAAGTTGTGAAGATAATTTGGTCTAGCACAAAGGAAATGTCAAAGTTCTTCTTCATTCTTTTAAGACTATCACTTTAATACAATTAAGACCCATAAAAACAATTAGCAAACACCTCTATAGACAAAGCGAATTTCAAAGTCATTCCATAATGGAACGCGGCCTAATTGTAATCACTTAACGGTCATTGGTTCGAAATGAAAAAATTTTGGTTTCTATTGAAGATAGAATTGCATGAAAGTTACTGTTTAAAATTGAGAAGAATAAGGTGATTTGATTCTGGTATGGCGACTTAGGTATTAGTCAGCGTTAACTTATGCTAAATTATGAGTATGACCTTTGAGAACAGTTGAGATTTTAGATAAAACCGACAGTCATAGAAATTTCTTAAAAGTTGGCTTTTTGGTGTTAAGTGGAAAATATTCAGAGTAATTCTATTTATTTCCTGACAAATTTCGCCTAACCATGTCGCGCCTTCCACTCCCTGCTATAAGGGGCATCAAAAGATAAGCTTAGTTTTTCTCACCTAAGAAATATATCACAGGGCGTAAATGACATTAAATATAAACACTTAAGACTATCTATTTATAGAGTTTTTTAAAAGCATCTTCTATGATGGCTATGTAGAATATTTTAAGATTATGTACATTTATGGATGAAGTGAAATGTGTTACACATGTAGTGAAGTATCAATGATATGAATTTCAACTCAGGGAAGCAGTCCATGGAAGAAGATTCTTATGTGGACGATGATCCTTCGGGCAGCGTAACTTCTCAGGAAGAGATTCTACATCGCCATCATCAGCATTATTACCATAACCACAGTCATAGCAAATCAGTTCCTTGTTCAAGCTTCTCCACTACTTGTCCACCTATGGTATATCGTAGTCAGAAGCATTCTCGGCTAGCTGTCGAGCAGATGAACGAAATGAGATCTGACGGTTTGCTTTGTGATGTGACGTTAGTTGTTGGTTCAGTTCGTATTAACGCTCATCGGTTGTTACTTGCTTCCTGCTCCAATTACTTTCGTGCTATGTTTACCTCGGAAATGGCTGAAAGTCGACAACGTTAGTTTCATCTGCTGAGAGATTGAAAAAGTAAAAAAAAGAAGTAATTTTCTATATTCATTTTCTATATCAAAAAATGAAAATTCTTCAGAGGAAATTCAAATGGTGGATATTGAGCCCCGAACACTACAAGCACTCATTGATTTCTGTTATACGGGAGAAATAACAATCGCTGATCTTAATGTTCAGTCAATCTTACCAGCTGCATGCTTGCTACAGCTTAATGAGATACAGGTTTTTTTCTGAAATTCATGTTAGAATCAAATTTCAATCGCTCATTTGTGTATGAGATTATTTAAATTACAGGAAGTGTGTTGCGAATTTCTTAAAAAACAGTTGGATCCAACAAATTGTTTAGGTATAAGAGCATTTGCTGATACTCATGCTTGCCGAGATTTGATGAGGATCGCTGAAAAATTTGCTCATCATAATTTTCAGGTTCATATTTCGAAAATTGTTCATCTTGGTTATTTATTATATTATCGACATATGGTTATTGCGTAGCATGTTGAATATAAATCCCATAAATTATTTGATACGTGCTTATCATTTCTATATTTCTGATTCTTTTGTGTTTTCTGTATTTAAATTATTGCTTTGAACATAGTGTAAAAAGGTTATAGGATGTTTCAAAAAGTGAGGAATTTATTTTGCTGCCATTAAATCAGTTAATTGATATCATATCAAGCGAGGAGTTGAACGTTCGTTCGGAAGAAATTGTTTTCCATGCTGTTATGGCTTGGATGCGTCATGATCTTCCTAATCGGCGTCAATTTTTGCCTAAGGTAATGTTTTTGCTTCCTTTTTTATGTAAATTCACGTATTGAAATTCATTTTTGTATAAAATATGGTTTAACTTCAGGTTTTGGAGCATGTTCGGTTACCTCTTTGTCCTGCCAAGTTTATTGTTAGTGTAGTAAGTGAAGAACCTTTAATAAAGACTGATGCACAATGTCGTGATTTGGTAGATGAAGCAAAAAACTATCTTCTTTTACCTTTAGAAAGGCCTAATATGCAAGGACCGAGAACTAGGTTTTCCAATATCTTTTATGAAACATGGTTTTCATTAATTCTCTTTATTTAATTCCTTATTTTGGTTGAAATTTCATTCTGTTTATGAATCTACTCAGAAAAATTCAGAAGTAGAAAGCCTGTTCGTTATGGTGAAGTTCTATACGCAGTGGGTGGTTGGTGTAGTGGAGATGCTATTGCTTCCGTAGAACAAATGGATGGTCGTACTGGTGAATGGCGCTGTGTTGCTCCCATGAGTAAACGCCGATGTGGTGTTGGCGTAGCTGTGCTCGATAATTTACTCTACGCTGTAGGTGGACATGACGGACAAAGTTACCTTAATTCTGTTGAGAGGTTTTTATTAATTTGTTATTACTTCTTTCACATTCATGTCTTTTCAGTGGAATTAGAAGTAGATTTTAATGGTCATTATTATTATAAGATTTTACTAGAGTAAGATGATCAAAATCTTCATTTATTGCTTCTGGAATTTTGATCGTGTTGTTGTTAAAGTTTGATTGGCAAATTATAATTTGAGCGACGATACAGTGCATGTTCTCAGCTTCTGCAATCTTGAATGCTTGATGCTTTGCATACAAATCAAAGAAATATCAATTAGACTTTCGTCTTTGATAAACTGTAGTCAAGAAGGTTCAGGTATGATCCTGCAACTAATCAGTGGTGCGGTGATGTTGCACCGACATCGACCTGTAGAACATCAGTAGGCGTTGCAGTTCTTGGTGGTTTACTTTATGCGATTGGCGGTCAAGATGGAGTTTGCTGTCTAAATATTGTTGAGAGGTTTTTATCTTTTCTTTATTGCGTTTATGATAAAAAATATAAATTGTTTCTTTTGAATTCGAAATTTTTTCATGTGAATTTTGTTTTCGAAACATAAAGTAATTTCTGCTCAAAGCATACAGGTACGATGCTCATCGCAACGAATGGTCTAAAGTAGCTCCAATGAGCACGCGTCGACTAGGTGTATCAGTATCAGTTTTAAATGATTGCTTATATGCTATTGGTGGTTCCGATGGACAAAATCCGCTAAATACTGTCGAACTGTACGATACTTGTTTCGATTTGATGAGATATTTTCTCGAAGATGCTTTTTGAAGAGCATCTTCTAAAGAGTTTGTGACTAGCTTCATATTTCTTCAGCTATGATCCACGAATTAACAAGTGGATGGCAGTAAAGTCAATGACTACGAGAAGGAAGCACCTGGGAACTGCTGTACTTGATGGATGCTTATATGCAGTGGGTGGTCGAGATAATGCATGTGAATTGTCATCAGCAGAGAAATATAATCCAAGTACAAATGAATGGACCAGTGTTGTTGCCATGAATAATCGCAGATCAGGGGTAACTATTGCTGTTTTGAATTAAGATTAGTAGATCTTCGCTGTTGCTTTGCAAATTGTTATTAGAATACTCCTGTAACTTTTTTTAAATCCCTGGTTCCTGAAATACAATAGCAATTGCCGTTTGAAAAAAGTGTTTCCCAAGAATAGTTTTTCATCGTATTGACTGTAGGTAGGCTTGGCAGTGGTGAACAATCAAATGTATGCAGTAGGTGGTTTTGATGGTACTACGTACTTGAAAACTGTGGAAGTTTACGATCGAGAAGTAAATCAGTGGCGTCAGTCAGGATGCATGACGTATAGACGTCTTGGTGGTGGTGTTGGAGTGGTTCGTTTACCTCACAATCAGCATGTGCCACTCAATCCCGATTCTGATTTAGTTCCGTTTGATGATCCTCCAGTAATGTAAACTGTCAAATGATTCCTAATTTCTGCTCTAGTCTATGCCTCTACATAATTCTTTATTGATGCTTATGTTAAGTTTATTTATATTATTTGCGTAGCCACTTTGTAACCTTGTCTGTCTTTATACAAACTACAGTTGTGCATTGCTTTGTCGTTCTTACAGTTTAATTCAGTTATGCGACTTGATATCTACTGCAGCATCTGAATAAGCTATGTAGAGTGAGTGACAATATTTTACAGAAATAAGTCGGAACTTCTAAAATCCTGTGGAAAAATGACATATGTAAGCAAATGCAGAGTTAGAAATTGCTACAGACGGTTCTTTACAGAGGAGGAAGTGAATGAATAAAGCGTCACGAAAGTGAGACTAAGACTTAAAAGAAAAGTGACAAATTTAGGAAGATGTGTGCTGATATAATAAAATCTTATGAAGAGATAAAGTCGTATTCACGAACTTGGGCGTCCGTACGTTTATACTTATATTACTTGTGAGAAAGTACGACTATATTGTTTTTAACATTACACAATGACAAGGTGTTCAGTCCACATAGCAGTTTACTTATACATTTTTTATGTACACTATGCGCAAGTTAGTTCCGTTCTTGTTAATAGCTGATGACTCCAATCTTCTGATTACGTATTAAAAACCAAGAAGATCTTTCACCGCTGCAATGATATCCCCATTGTGTTCAATTAGCTTCTTCTCTGCTCGAATTTTTGGTAATTCTAATTCGTGCATCTGGAACGGTTGCAGTCTTAAATTTTGTTATATACTCAGTCAAGTTCTTGGTATGCCAATACTAAATGAAATATTTCAGAGTGATTTATGTCAGTTCTTACAACCCCTTCCAAATTATACGATAGCCCACTTTTCTCAATTATTATGAGAAAACAAGTAGTTACGCTCAAGTTTACTTTAGTTTTCACACAATAATAAAATTTTTAGCTATCTAAAGACTTATTATCTCAGGACTATCAAATCGAGCTTGGTCTTTCACTTACAATAAGTAAGATATCTTCTTTTTTGATGTTTACAATTTTCTGGTTTCCTTTCGAAGGTCCAGAGGGCCCACTGATTAAACTATCCAATTTTTCATTTGACACTTCTCGACCATTATCACTGTCTTCATTAAAATCCGTTACCTGCAATAGCCATTAATTAGATGGGTTTCTGCGCTTCATATCTATGAATATATCTAAATTGAAAACCTTTTCTAGATCAGCTGCTGCCCAATCCTTACTTTTCGTAGTATCCTTGGTTATCCGATCATTTTGATCACCAACTTCTTCTCGCTTGTCTTTCTCTCTCATTTTTGTAGTTACTTCCTTTTACAGTTATTCAAGAAAATTTGCATACATTCTACTTCAAGTCACACTTCATGAAAGAGACGCGCAGTCACGATTTTGCACTTTTAGTAATCTCAATACAAATCAAAAACTGCGCAACATACACACCACAACTAAAGAAACACAAAGTAAACAGTGCTTAAAGCTTAGAATGACAGAAATCAGTCAGATTTCTGACGATAAGAAGGCCGAGCCATCTCTTGTGGAATTGTTACTCAGTGCAGAAAAGATGGCTCGTCCATGCTGAGTTAAAGTTGAAAAAATAATTTGAGCAATGTCTGTTCCGCTCTTGTGCATCTATAACTGGGATCTATGTATTCTGCATAACGATATCTTTATTCCAATGGTGAACATATCCATCTTAGACAGTGTATCGACAGCTTCCAGCATATTACATAGGCAGGGCGCTTTTGATATGGACAGTGATGCCATCTATAGGTAGTAAGTCATATATTTGTTATTTTTCTCCTCTGTTGCCTAGTACTCTTATTAATAATAATTAATGATGATAACTTTAGGAATGAACTTGCTGCTGTATGGAGAGAAGGATATTGGTAGCTTTTGATAAGATTAATTTTGTGATAATAAATTTAGGTATTCATTGTATTTCCACTATGTCAGTTCGTGCTATTGCATGAGTGAATAGTTCACTGATTAGTTTTATGGAAGTTTTTTGTTCAATAACCGTGGATTAAGTTTCTTTTAAACATCATGGTACAGTTTTATCTGTATACCACCAGTGTTAATTATTAAAGGCGAAGGCTAAGCGAAGGCTAATTTCAGCTCTTATCTTTTTATTTATATGCTTTTTTAAAGAAAATTTTCAGTGTTTTTTTATTTTGAATGTTTGATTCTGTTTCCATGGTTGTGGATTTTTATTTTTATCGTTTTTTATGTAGAAATTGATTGTTTTATTTGGAATCAATTATTTTTATGTTTTATATACGTTTGCCTTAAAATTAGAGTATACTATTGATATATTTCAGATCATTACTGGTGGTAAGCTTTTTGGTGCTAGTTGTTTCATTTTGGATGATCATCAAAATTTTCAAGTAATTATTGTCTGAATTTGTTTAAAATCACTTAGGAACATATGTCAGTCTTTTGTTGATAAGTGCAATGTAAATATAAACAAACATTTAAATTATTTGATCTCCACAAATTCTTTTTTCCTCAAATTCCAGAGCTAAGAATAATGATTGGCGCGTGCGGCGATATGATGTAATGTTAACAAAACAGAATGTGTCAGTTCAGGCAGTTTCGGACGATAGTGATGATGAATTATTTGGTCCATTGGTGGGAGATGATTCCAGCAGACGTCTCGTACCAGATAATAGTACTCAATAAAATTACATATTTGTTCCCAAGTATCATGTTTCGTACTTTCGTATCTCATTTTCAAGTTTTATGCAATTGATGTTCAAGTTTTGACAGAAGTTTTCATATGTTCTCTTTGATTTCTGTTTTTGTCAAAGTGTAATCTATTTTTATTAGTGAAACATTCATTTAAAGTATGTGCTATGCGCAGTAGTTAATTTTATCCTGACGATCAAGTGGATGATATTAAGGGACTCGCAACAGTCTCATTGTATTTGTATGTCCAGAACCTGAAAGTATCTATTTCTATTGATTCGTTTATAACTTCTCATGTAATTTCATATGTTTATGTTTTCGTCCTAACAATTGAATATGCTATACTGTGTGGAGGCTCGTTACCAGAATCTTAATATTTGGAAGCGTTCACCTTTAGTCCATCCAGTAACTACCACTATCAGCGTGTTTGATTTTATTATACCAAGACCTTGACCTATCTTCATACCATATTGCACACGTAGATCAACGTCTGCCATCCAATCTGGATTTCGTGGTTCTGCAAATTAAATCTAAAACTTGTTATTAAATTTTAGTAGCTGGGGAACTAAGATGACATGCCATCTTATATGAAAAATTGGTCGTCGTAGTTAAGGTATACTTTTACTAAGTCAGCCGATTGGTTACTAGTATACGAGTGAACAATATCGCTAAGCACATGCATTTGTTTCTGTGTGTTTGCATAGAAAAGTTACTGGTTTAACGCACGCTTGTAATAGACTGGCAAAACACCGCGAAATAGTTGCATTTGTCTTGCGGATTGTGCTTCTCGAGTGATTGCTATGATCGGAACGCTGGGACGAAATTTACTGATCAAACGAGAAGAGCTGAAATTGTCAACATTTTAAAAGCATTGCTGTATGATGGCGGGTGTAACAATTTTCTATAAAATTAAATCTAATAGGAAATGGTATGTTGTCCTGTAGGTGCATCTGTCATGTTTGTGCTTACGTCTCTTTTCACGCAGAACAGGGTTTTCAATTATGTTTAAGGTTGATTTAGTGTAATAGTACGGGAATGAATATTTAGTAGGGGGTTTATGGTTCGAGAGGAAATCAAGAATCAGCTGTGTGAAGTAGTTTCATTCGATAATGTGCAAGCAGGCGAAGGACTGAAGAGGTTGTAGTTTTCATTTTTTTATACGAAAGAATAGTGGCATTTCTCGTAAATTCAAACGAAAATTCCATAGACTATGACATACTGTCCACTGCTGGTGAGGACAACAATCGCGCTAGCACTGCATGAGAAAGCAGCAGAAACTGCAGCAATGGCAAGTACTTGAGTTATATCACTTGTCTTAGATGTACATTGCAGTACATCTTCGAAATAATTCCTGCAGTTCATTACTGATTCTGCCTCGATACAAATCTGTAGAGCTTTTAATACATTCTTTTTTATTTTAAGGCAGCTAATTATCAATTTTGCTGCAGCAGTCTTCATCTTTATTAAATTTGTGGTAGAAATTTTAGTTGCGATAAGTCGTTAATCCGATGAATTTTCAAATGCATGTTTAATATCTCCTCAAAAAATTTCTTAATTAACGGCTTTAGGATAAAAAATAATTTAATTTCATTTTTTTTAAATAAAAAAAAATTCTCATTTCCCTTACTATTAAAACTGTGAATGCTAATATCATAAGTTAATGTACTAGTTTGTTGTTTCTGTGTGTTTTTAATTTCCAAGTAAATACTTTAAAACTATTACTAATGTGGAAATCGCTAAACTATTATTTTATTAATTTTAAATCTAATTCTTTCTAACTTGACACATTGTCATCAACGTCTGCACCGGATAATCCCCTTTAGCTGTTTCACCGCTCAACATCACACAGTCAGCTCCATCGAGGACTGCGTTAGCCACGTCGCTACCTACAAAATGTATCGGGAGATGAGCATATGTATTTCAGTTTGAGAATTGCAAACAAACTTAAAATTTATTATAGCTATATAGAATTTATTAGTAGTTACTTGTGAAGATTAATTACTTTCAGCGCGAGTTGCCCGTAGCTTTGTAGTCATCGATTCAAGCATTTGCGTAGCACAAATAACAGGTTTTCCTGCTATATTGCATCGTGCTATTAGCATTTTCTGTGCCACAAATACTTTTTCTGGTGGTATTTCAATGCCCAAGTCACCACGAGCAATCATGAGTCCATCTGCTTCTCTGATTATTTCATCGGCACTAAGAAAGTGGTAAAACGTCATTTTTGTCGATGGAATAGAACTGTAAACTAATTTAAACATCTGAGATAATAAATGTTGATTTTATTTAATTCTGAACTTTAGGTTCAGGTTCATGTCTAATTTACTTCTCGACGCCTTCGTGATTTTCTATCTTTGCAATAATTTTAATAAATCTCCCTCGTTCCCCGAGAACTCTTCTAATTGCTCGTACACCATCAGCGTTCCGGATAAATGATGCAAAAATCATGTCAACACCCTAAAGTAAGACTTGTCTGTAATTAAAAAAATACCAAAGTTTATGCCTTGATCACAAAATATCTGTTCGCTAGTGGTACCTGTTCAACACCAAATAACAAGTCTTTAGTGTCTTTTTCCGAAACAGCCGGAAGGTCGCACTTGGTCCCAGGCAGGTTGACACCTTTTTTGCTTCCTAATTTTCCTCCGTTCTCAATTGTACAGTATATATCATTACCTACTGAATTCCAATTTTTTGCTTGTAAATATCGGAATAAACTTCACAGAAATTATTTAAAATTGCGAATGTGTTTGATGCATTACTTGCGAGTCTTAATACACTTTTGCTAGTGCATCTATTACAGTTCGAATAAATCGCATATGAAGTAAAATATTTATCCAAATTGAAATTATGAAAGGTATTTGGGCATATATCATTATAATTTTCATACTAATAATTCAATATTAATCAGTTCAGATTTGAAATAAGGATTTTCAAGGTTATTTTGAAATCATAAAATTGTACCAATGCTATCTACAGAGAGAGAAATTAATCCATCATCAATGTATACGTGACTGCCAACTTTGAGCACTTTTGCTATCTGCTGGTAATCCACGTATAGTTCCTCGGCACTACATTTCGAAGCTTTTTGGATGTCTGTTGTTAGCTTAATTTTTGCACCCTTTCTAAGGGCCACTTCTGCTGTCCCAGACTGTAAAAGTTAAAACTGGATCAATGCTGCTCTTTTATCAATAAGCTAACCGTTTAACTGTATACGTACGCCGCAAATGAGGCCAGTTCGAATTTCAGGTCCTTTGGTATCCAAAGCTATCCCAACCGTAATTCTGTCCTCAAAAGTGCTAATTGCTGTCCGTATATTTTTTATCGTAGTTCCATGGTACTAAAAAAATTATTTTTTGATGCAGTAATTTATTAATTCCGCTCTACTACAGCACTATCAATTCATTATAAATTTGGTAATAATTTAGTTATAACGAAGCACATATGTGATGAAAATTCCATACTTCGTATGAGCCATGACTGAAATTAAGCCGTGCTATGTTCATACCACTAGCCATCATGTCTTTTAGTACTTCTACTTTTTGACATGATGGACCTAGAATTTACTTTAAATTGCAAATATGATTACTTATCAGATAAGAAATATCCAGTGTTTGTTAAAATACGTTTTCTGACAAAAATTATTTTCATAATGACAGTAGAGAGTGCGCCAAACTTTTTAAGCATTTTGTTTTTGTATATGAAAAAAAAGCTGCAGCGGATTTTCGTTAGTGCAAAAAAATGATTGCTGCCTTCAGAAAATAAAATGAGGAAAATTGTATGTTTAAACTGTGCAAAGTCAAATATATGCACAAACCAATGGTACAAATGATCCCAGTCATCCGATAAACGTGTACAGGGTCATTAATGTTGAGTTTACAGAAGTGCTCGAGAGTTGACTCCTTGGATCCGATTGGCCTGAAATTTGATAGCTAAGATTTGGGCATTCTCATCAACGAAAGCTCCCTCAGGAAATTAAATGAGCAAAATTTATTATTTTACTGATAATAGATGCAGCATGAGATGAAAACCCGTAAAGAGTCTGTCTGACCTATGCTTAGGATTTGCAAACCAAATAGAATACCAAATTATTTGGACATGTGAATTCTTATTGTTTTCTTTGCTTCTCATTTCACCGACTATTGCAGAAGCATAATCTTTTAGTACTTTATGCAAATAATAATAAGATTATGCACAATTTGTCAGCTAAGAAATGACGCAATACTGGAATGTTATGCCCACATGATTGAAGAACGTTGGTGTCCTCTAGACTGCCCACGCTTCTCTCAGCGCAGCAATACGAAACTGGTTATTTTGACTTATTTGACCATTTATAAGGTCTCGTTCTTTACGTCTATGTAAATTGTGATAGTGATACCTGTTGTTGAGCATAGAGCACAATGCAGTACTCTCTTGAACTAACTGCTCTGAGTAATAACTTCTCCTGAAAGGTAATTAGTTATGGGGGCAAATTTCTTGTCTGCCAACTGGGACAGAAAATCAAGCTGTCTTATCAGTGCGGGCTTAAAATTGCTGCGAAAATTTCTTCTAATTGTAAAAGCTTTTTTCGAAAAAGAAATTTTCTGATCTTTTTGAGTGAACCTCTACTCTGCTCGTTATTCTAGCGATTGCTGCGAAGCACAGTTTTGGGTAACTACATTCTTCCCGTTGAATTTATTCAGCAAATCCTACGCTCCAGAGGAATTGTGACTGCTTATTCACTGTGAGAAGTGACATTGTGGTAATAGGATGCTTCTGGGACAGACAAAATTTGAATGCGCGCTTTGAAACGTCCCATCGCGTAATCAATTATGCAGTAAGTAATGAAAGTTCTGACAGCCAATCGCAGTGTGCAGCAATTTATAATATTTATTTTCCTTAATAAATCCTTCTTCTCTATTTTCGTTATCAATGCCCATAACTTTCAGTGCGTTGCATTAATAATCGTTTTCTAATTTTCGCTTAAAATTGCATTTTTGAGACAGTAATGATTGCAATGTAAACACTGAAGGCCGTAAATTCGTTCGTATTATCACTTCGAGCATTATTTTGTGTGTTTTTACTTGCTTTATTTGATAATGGTTGATTGTATTTTGTACTTGCAAGATTTGTCGCATCTATTTGCTGGGGGATGAGTACAAAGGGCAGATACAGATTTAATTAGTAGGGATATCGCACAAATTAATCTTTTGCTATTACTTATTTAATATGCTTATGAGATCTAACCATCAGTTATTCGGCAGACATTTCTTTATGCAAAACGATGTGTTCAACCGATGCACCATCTTGTATATATCGCGGTTAAAAGATTCGTTTGTTCAGTGCCATATTCTGGTCATAATATTAAATAATTAATACTTTCAAGTATCTTTGAATTTAAAGTCCTTTTGACTACTTGTTTCAGATAGAATTTGCATTTGTAATTTCACAAAAGTTGAAAACGATGAACCTTCAAAAATAACCTAAGATGGCTCTGTCATTTCATAACATGGAGGAAGGGCGCGAGTGCTTTGTTGGGTCAAATGATACATTTGAGGTAAAGTGAGTAAAATATACCATTAAATTGCGTGTTTTTGCCAGCTTCTATTACTACCAGCCCGAGCATTGAAAGCTATGGCATAATTTCACTTAGTTTTGTGTATATAGAGCCATTTACATCGCCGTGCAGCCAGCAGTGGTGAATCGTCGATTGATGGATCATTTGATGAAGATCGTGCTGCCTTAAGTGATTCCGATCTTGCAGGTGCTGCCAGAATTCAGGTTTTTATTTGATCAGTCAAATATTTTTATTTTCCATAAACTTTATGTTGTGGGGAATTTTTTTCATCAAATCATAGAGAGTAATCGCTTGCTTACTCCAGTTTTAGTTAAATTCATAATTTTGCTGCAGACTTTAGCCATAAAAGCAAAAGGTCCCTCTAGCGATGCTCTTGAGACAGAATGTCGCACCGAGCAGAGTGTTCTGAATAGTCATGACTGTGATTGTTCCTTATCGAAAGGTGCATGGAATGATGTTTTAGGTAGTGGACAGCTATTTTGTAAGGTACTATTTTTAATAAAGGCAGAAGTTCCTGTAATTTGTCCCATTTAGACATCTTAGTACTTTCGTATTACTACTATTTGAATAATTTTGTTTCAAAAAATATACTATTCATTAAATAGCAATATTTTGAATTCCCTGGTTTTTTTTGGCTACTTTCAAGTTTATCAAAAATTTGCCTGATATATA